GAGAGAGAGGAGAGAAAGGAGAAAGGAGAGAGAGAGGGAGGGAATGTAACGGAGAGAGAGAAAGGTAGAGAAGGAAGATGAGGAGAGAGAAAAAGGGAAAGAACAAGGAGGGAAAGAGAGGGATGGAAGGAAGGAAGGTTGAATTTATTCTTCCTAGCTGACCAAGATTTTGTAGCTTTTCATCCTGGCAACCCCTACTCTACTTTCCACTCCTGTGAGCTCATTTGTTCCTGTGCAGCACAGGATTTGTCTTTCAGTGTATGGTTTCTTCGCTTATTTATTACAGTGTTCTTCAACTTCACCCATGTTGCTGTAATGACAGATTTTCATTCCACATTGTATTGCAAGATTATAGCACTCTTTGTTACCACACAAATGCAACTCAGTTTTGTCAATAGAGCAGTAATAAGAGTTATAAAGTAATAATGAGTTGATTTAATGGCTTCCTTATTAGGATTTTGAGTTTTAATAAGTCAAGCAACATGCAGCTTTTAGAAGAGTGCTGAATAAGGCTGGCTACTACTATCCTGGATCCCTAGTGTTGGAAGTTCCTTATTTTCTGCTTCAGAATTTCTGCTCCTGGGTAAAACATTGTGTTCTCCTTAATTACAGACTAACCTATTAACTAAATTTCTCAGTCGCCCTAATCTAAGCATGTTTAACTAATTAAAAAAAATAATTGTAAAGCAAAAAACTTGTTTGATTATTTTTTCCCCAACTTTGAAAATATATTCATACCCTAAAAAAGGGACGTTTGTTTGCCTTCTTGGTATACATAGTGAATGTAATATTTTATCAAAGAAAAGCAACTTCAAAGTGAATTTCTCATCAAATGTATGTTTTTCAAACAAAAGAAGTGAAGAAACACACTCAATTGTTGATCAAGTTAGAGACACAGACTACCAGTCACCTCACATGCTCTACTCTGTTAAATAATCTGGAGAAAATAAGGAGAGATCTTCTTAGTGGAGTGAAAAGGAAGAAGGGCTGGGAATTTAGTCAGAACAGGGTTGTACCTTGGTTAGACAAATTTCAGAGGTTTTGACTTCTTCATCTACAAATCTGAAGAGACAGACAGACAGACAGACAGAAAGACAGATTAATCATGCCCGAACCTGGTGGTTTAAGCCTGTAATCCTAGCTATTCAGGATACTGAGATCTGAGGATCCCAGTTCAAAGCTGGCTTCAGCAAATTTGAGAAACTCTTACCTCCAATTAACCAGCAAAACACCAGAAGTGGAGGTGTGGCTCAAATGGTAGCATACCAGCATTGAGTGAAAAAGTTAAGGAAAATCATGAAGCCCTGAATTTGAGCTCCAGTATTGGGAATATGTGTGTGTGTGTGTGTGTGTGTGTGTGTGTGTGTGTGTGTGTGTGTGTGTGTTGTATATATTCTATGTTATATATGTGATACATAGAATACATACACAGATTACATGCACACGCACAAAATATAGTTTATTTATCAATTCTATCTCATGTCTCCATTAGTGTGAGGGACTCAAGAAAATAATCTTAAAGAAACTACTTTAAATTTGCTATGATCTTTTACAGCAACAGAGAAACAGCATAAACTATATCATGTATCATTATGAGCTATAATAAAAATAAACCTTATTTAGGCTTAAAGACACTTAGGAAATGATAAAAAAAAAAAAAAAGACTCATTTCCTGTGTTGGAATGTGGCCATGATATCACAATAATACTATTCACCTATGCCACCATTTTAGAGCAATAAACCTTCAGTGTTAAATTAACCACTCTACTTTTTTAAAATTTATTTATTTATTTATTTATTTATTGGCGGTCACGGAGTTTGAACTCTGGGCCTGGGCACTGTCCCTCAGCTCTTCAACTCAAGGCTAGCACTCTACCACTTGAGCCATAGCACCCACTTCTGGCTTTTTTGTGTATGTGGTGCTGAGGAATTGAACCCATGGCCTCATGCATGCAAGTCAAGCACTCTACCACAGAGCCACCTTCCCAGGCCCAACCATTCTATTTTTAATATTAGAATTTTGTAGTTGAGTCAGAAACTTCAGCCTTCTGAAATAAAAAGTTATTTTCTTTTTTTATTTAAGAACAAAATTTGGCAAAGCATTATATCTTTACTTTTCTATCCTAGAAGGATGATTCTTGAAACAAACACCTATCTAAATAATATTGTATGAATCATTTCTCTGCCACATCAAAGGAAAGTTCTTAGAAATTTTTAGTCACTTGGTTAATTGGTTACACTCTGGTGAAAGTTTAAATATATACAGTCATACATGTTCTTCAGCTAGTAATCAATGAAGATTGATTCCCCTTTTCATTTTATGTTTAATAATGTAAAAGGAAAACTTGACTAGATGATAAATATCAGATCAAAGAAAGGTTAACAAATCACAATCTCCAAGTAATCAAGAAATATAAGGTAATGTACAAACCAGTATAGAGTGCATTTATCAGTACATTTTTGTATAAATTAGGAAAAAAAACACATAATGTTATAATTTAAGCTATTCACAGCTCCTCTCACAGTAATCTTATTTCTTAAAATTCCCAATTTATTCTCAAATAAAAAGATAAAGTATCCAAGTCAGCATAGAAGACTGATAGTATATTAGTGCAGTTGGATTCTAAGACATTTTTATTAAGAACTACCAGGCAGTGGGCTCTGCTGTTTTACTCTCTATAACTCTAGAAAGTTCCAGCTCCCCAAATCCTATGGGATAAAACAAGTTTCTGTTTAAGTTTTAGCAATGACATGTCTACCTTGGCTTATAAAATGTACCCTATCTTTGTTAGATCCTTCTCCATTCTGCACAGGATGGGAAGGTGGGGGAGAATCAAAGAAAAAAACAAAAATGAAACTACCCAGAGCCCAAAAGCATACACCATTCAGAAAGAGGTGTTCCTTCATGACTGATTACCATGATTACTGTGTTAATCAGGTAATACAGTAGAAATAGACAAACTCTTCAATCATCCAGTTCAACATCAATAGCACTGAAGTATTCTGAGAAGAAATCATTTGCTGGGGACAGATATAAGGAACAGGATCTATAGTCATGCTTTCAAAAATGACACTAATAAGATGAAAATTCAATTATGTAGTAACAGGGCCATACTGGCATATATCCAACTTGCTCTCATGGGAAAAACTATATAATCTAATTGGTCCTTGGAAGGCAATTGGTATCTGGATTCTAAAAAGTGTAGTATCATTGTCTGTGTGTGTGGTGTGTGTGTCTGTGTGTGTGTGTATGCACATGCACACACGCGTGCCTGTGTGTGCACGCACATTTGGCTTAGTGAACCAAATGATGATTCCATGCAAGTACCCCTGCATTGTTTATTTCTGTAACTGTCACCTTCAAGTAATTTCCAATCTTCTGCTTTGTTAGTGTATATATAAACCCTAAGGAGATAGGTTTCCATTCATAGCATAGGTTAAATTTGGGATGATCTATTAAGAATTTGTCCTGTGATCATAAATCTGTGAATTTTTTATGTGTTTCTCTGTGTGTGTGTGTGTGTACGTATGTATGTATGTTGATAATGGGGCTTATTAAACTCAGGGCCTCATGCTCTTGCTTGGCTTTTTGCTTAAGGCTAACGCTCAATCATGCCAGCTATACATCCACTTCCAGGGCTTTGCTGTTTCATCGGAGATAAGAGCCTCTCATATTTGTCTGCCCAGTGTGGCTTTGGGGATTTTTCTGGTCATGATGCTCAGATTTCAGCCTCCTGAGTATCTAGAATTATAGGCATGTGCCATAAATAAACCTGTGATTTAAATGGTAGATTTAATACAGATCATGTAAGTACAGTCTCTCCTTGGATTGTATAGCTGTCAGTTTATGTTCTTAAAAAGAAATTAAGGAGAATAATATATGAATTCATGCCTAGAGCAATTTAAAATTTGGATAAGAAGTAAGAGCTGTTCAGTTTAAGCCCATTTTCCTAATAATTTGAAAAATTCTGTACAATATTATCAAAGTAAATCAAAGGTATATCAGTAACAGCCTGTAGAAAAAGAGAAATATAAAATAATTTAAAAATAAAAAGAACCTGACATAATCTCACAATATTATGGGGTAAATAAAATTAAGAAGACTATGTTCTTTATTGATATAAATAAAGGATAACTTGTAGTATAGTGATCAGTATTTATACCTTGGTTAGTTAAAAGCATAAGCACAATTTACAAAAAATTTGAACTACAAATTGCAAAGAAAAATAGGCAGGCTCTCTTCATTGACATCTTCAATGTATAATGTTACCTATCAATTTTCTGTTCCATTACAAAATTCAATATTAAAATTTCATAGCATTCAATATTGATTTCAACATTAAAATTTATCAAAATGATTAAAAATATTCAATTAGAAAAAATAAGACACCAAAAATAAGATTTCCAGGCCTCTCTCTTGAATTGGATCGAGCTTCGATAGGGAAAGGAAAAAAATGTTGTTGTTATTATTATTTTTTAAAGTAGGTCACTTGGCTCTGAGTTCAGGACTACAAAACTTCAGGTGTGAGTGATGTGAGAAGCCTTCTTGGAACGAGGAAGGGATTTCTATAATCTTCCAGATAATGAAAGCCATGGGGTTCCACCCCATTTTTTAGAGGAGGGCAAAGCTTCATGGCTTTTTTGTTTTTTCTTTTTTTTTCAGCTAAAATTCACAACTGTTAACAGAAATTGAGCCTCTGTTTGGGAAAAGAACATTCCAACTGGGAGAAACCACTCAACAGTGATGGGTGGGTGACATTCCCCTCCATTCACTGTTAGGCAAATCCAACATGGCGGTGGTAGGGTGTCTCCAGAGGGGCAGGGGCCTCCCAGAACCCAGACCCATAAGGTCCTCAGTGCGTTGGCCGCACTGCACACCCACTTCCAAACCCAGGACAGGAGAGATCAGCCGCAGTGCCAGCCAGTCAGAACACATCCTCTTCCTGACTCTCCCCCTCTCTGACTGTGTGTTGACGTTGAGTTCACTTTCCAGAGCGTTCCTAGCACTCTTCATTTCTGGAGACTTTTGACTCGTTTTCTTTACGGGACTTTCTCTGTTGGTAAATGCGTAGGGCTATGGCAGAGATGCACAGCAAAATGAAGACCACAACAGCTATCACACCTGAGGGTGATAGAAGAGAGAAAAACAGTCACCAAGTCAGAGAGAAAGCTCCAACTAGATTCTTTGCTGGCAACATTGCCCAAAAAGGGAGGATAATATAAACCATCTATGGCGCCAGAAATTGGAACTATCAGAAGTTTTTCTTTCTTTCTTTCTTGGCTACTGCCAGGGCTTGAACTCAGGACTTCATGTTCACTTGGCTGGTGCTCTACCACTTGTGCCATGACTTCAGTCCTGTGTTTTTTGCTGGTAAATTGGAGATAGACTTTTCTGCTAGGCTGGCTTTGAAGAGCAATCTTTCAGATCTCAGCCTCCTGAGTAGCTAGGATTCAGGCATAATCCTTTACTTTTCAGATTGAAAAGTGTGAACTCATACATCCCTAACATCAGATATAATTTTCTGATAACAGCTGTGAAATTTGAAATTATTTTAGGATCCAGTAGTTAGTGCCAGTATAGAATATTGTTATTAATATAGTTAAACAGGTAGATTTTAATAAAAATTATTTTTAAAATACTTTTATGACCACATAATCCATTCTAATTGCCAAAAATTAAGTTTATTTATGTGGAGTGTGGATTATTTAAAAGAATAGGTGAGAAGATTCTACATTTCTTAAAACCTCTGTATACCAATGATACGCCACTCAGAGGGGTACAGTCAGGAGATGAAGATAAGAGAGTAGAAGGCCTGGGTACCAGTCTCTTAAAGTTTAGCTTTTAATTCACAGCCAGAATGCTGCAGCACTAATCCATGCCACAGAGAGCTGAAGTTAGATACATAATATTAGCAAGGACTAAAAGGCAAATCTATGCAAAAACTAATCCATGTGTATAAGGACAAGATTCCACTCTCCACTAATAAACAAGGTGATTCCCAAAGATGTTCATTTCTGCCTCCAGCTGGCCATGGCTAAAAAACGAGATCTTCCAGGACCAGGCCGTAAATGGGTCGTAAATGTTTAATAGCAACAAATCCTTGCATTACTCAGGAAGTCTTGCCAATGATATTTGACTAGAAGCAAGGAAAATTGCAAAGATAAGACCTTTTTGCTCACTACCCGAGCTCACAGAAAGTCGAGCTAACTCTGACATTGTGCAAACAGTTGTAAGACTTGGGAACGGATTCTGAAAATGACAAGCATATTGAAATTGTTTTGTCATTGTAATGAAAAAAAAAGAAGAAGAAAAAGAAAAAGAACGGGGCTGGGAAGGTGGCTCAGTGGTAGAGCTCTTGCCTTGCATGCCTGAGGCCCTGGGTTTGATTCCTCAGCACCACATAAGCAAAATGTAAAGAGCCAGAAGTGGCGCTGTGGCTCAAGTGGTAGAGCGCTAGCCTTGAGCTGAAGAGCTGAGGGACAGCGCCCAGGCTCAGAGCTCAGGCCCCATGACCGGACCAAAAAAGAAAGAAAAAGAAGAAGAGGCATGAGGATTTAGGAAAGATTCAATTTTTATTTAAAACCTAACACAAAAGTATTACATTTGATAGGCATTACTGACCACATTCCCACTGAAAAAAAGTTTTTAAAAAGTGTGTACACATGTTTAAATTAATTAATTTTGTGCCGATACTGGGGTTTGAACTCAGGGCCAGGGCATTGTTCTTTAGCTTTTCACCCAAGGCTGGTGCTCTACCACTTAAACAACTGCTCCACTTTTGACTTTTTGGTGGTTAAGTGGAGATAAAAGCCTCATGGTCTTTGAATGGCGATCCTGAGATCTTGGTCTCCCAGGACTACAAGAATGAGCCACTGGTGTGTGTCCAGCAAGGCTCATGTATTTTTTTTAATACCTTATTGATTTCAAACAGAAAAATAATTGAGGTGCAGATAGGATATTAATACATCCAAAAAGAAACTGAAAACTTTATAATAGTTGAATTGTTTTCTGTCATTTTTACAAGGGAAATGTTCGTTTTCGATGCAACATGGTAACTGTACATAATGACACGGAATCGCGCATATTAAAAGAATGCGCTTTAACTAGTGTTACACACATTGAACTTTGTGTGTGTGGGTGCCACACTTGAACTCAGAACTTCTTGCACTTGCTTAGCTTGCTTAAGGCTGGTATTCTACCAATTGAGTCATCCCTCCAGCTCAGCATTTTGCTGATTAATGGGAGATAGACTCTCAAAGACTGTCCTGCCTGGAAGCTGTGGCTCTCCTATCTCAGCCTCTTGAGTTGCTAGGACTATACACATGAGCCACCACGCTTGCTGGGCAAAACTGTTCTGTTAAAATGGTGCTCACTGGAGATTCCTTCCCTGAGCCTCTGAGGTGGGGGGGGGGGGGGGGGGGGAGAGTTAAAATTAGCTGAGCATGAACTCAGAAAACCAGCACAGTGCAGACGGTGTCTTTCACCACCGAGTCGTACATTATATTATTTTCCATTAATAATGAATTCATTGTCAAAAGTGATCATAATGACAGGAAAGAGAGATCGGTTACCTCCAATGACCCCAGAGTCACTATGGTCTGCGTTAAGGAAGGGTTCTCCCTCATCTGTTGGCCCCAGATGACCTAGAGTAGAAGCAGGAGGAAGGACAGAGAAGGGCACAAAGGAAGACTGTGAGCGGTTGGGAAAGCCGGGCAGCTTGGGAGCATGCAGGGTGCGGTGGGGCTAGGGGGTGCAAGCACCTGTGCTCCCCGAGAGCCTGGGTGCCAGTTCCCGCGCTGGGGAGCCAGGCCCCGCCCCCTCCGTGCAGCGGGATGCTGGGGTCACCCGGCCCCGTATGGACACCCACGCTGGTCCCCCGGGCTGCAGAGCGGCCTTCAAGGGGGCAGCACCCCCAAAGCGCACTGCAGAGAGACAGCCTGTGAAGCCACGCGTCGCTGCCCGCCGGGTGTCAGAGTCCATGTCCAGGGGCTCTGGGGACAAAAGGGGGGAGGGGAGGGACACGCTGTTAAGGTACAAGGACAGAAGATGGAGAATGGAAGATCACCCCCGTATCTATGTAGCAGAGACCAGAATGTCCCTGCCTGCGTTAGTGAAAACCTTCACCAGCACGCAATCGTTTGCATTGCTGCAATGAGAGGCTTTTCATTGTGCTAATTGCATGCATAAATAACCAAGAAGGAAGGAAGGAAGGAAGGAAAGAAGGAAGGAAGGAAGGAAGGAAGGAAGGAAGGAAGGAAGGAAGGAAGGAAGGAAGGAAGGAAGGAAGGAAGGAAGGAAGGAAGAGGAGTCAGGGAAGGAAGAGGGAGAGATGAGTGAAAGAACAAAGTCTAACAAAAACAATGGTTCACAGTTATTGGATTCTAGTGTTTTAAAAGTCGACATTCTTCTTTTATCTTAAAGCGATTGTGCAAAGGGGTTTCAATCCATGATGGCAGTCGATGAGCACAATGCATCTTGACTAATACCTCCCCTTCCACTGTCCTCTCATCTTTATTCACATTCTTAGACTCCGTATCAGATAAAAGTCAAAGCTATGTGGATCGTTTTGCGTGTAGAGTGTACACCAAAGTAGGTCCATCTTGAGATAACCAACTGGAATTTTCTTCATGAAGTGAAAAGTATACAGACACAGCAAGAAAAGACAGGACATATTAGTTACAGTGAATGCTGGTCTATTCTTTTTTCTGAAGCATGGTAAATACTCATAAATTAGATTAAAGCATCTGTTTATTGTAATTACTTACATACCAGCCTGTGTTCCCTATTGATAAGACAGGATGTGCCTCACCCACAAACATTCACAGGATGTAAAAGTTCTCAGTGAATAGATTAATGATCTCCTTGAGTTATGAGAATTCATCTTAATGACCTACCATTGTGTTCTTTGAATTATTTTCTTTGAAAAATTAGCTTTTCTATCCATCATTTGATTGGTCTGGTCTATCTTACTGTAAATTAAAAGCAATTAAAAGTACTTCCTGCATAGCTCCAAATGTCAACATAAAATAATCATCTTAATCCAATTATTAAATGGTCTTAGAGTAGCAAAAAGCCTTACCTGGCAGAATCCAGGTAAGGATTTCGGGTTATTATTTGTACCTATCTTCAGGCTCAGAGAAAATGAGTATTTATAATTTTCTGAGGTCAGTTCCTCCACACTATACAACTCACTCATATGATTAATTTGAACTTAAATGTGTTCTTTTTTATGAGTTATCAATCTCTACGTAGCTTAGACTGGCCACAAACAGAAGATCCTCTTGCCTTGGTCTCCCGAATGTCGGGATTAAAGGCAAATGCTACCCAGACTGGCTGTGAACATTAGCTTTTTATTCCCTAGGTTTCATATATTTGAATATACTTTTCTTGAATAAAAAAACACTAAGGCTTTCAATTTTACGAACTTATTTATTTAAAGAACTTACATAGCAAATACTATTATTGTAAGTTCTGGTCCTCTTCAGAGTTAATATAATGCAGTTCATTTTCTTAACTGGGAATTAGACCAGGCCAGTAGTGGGGCATGAACTCAAGGACTCTACATTTCCCCTTGACATTTTCTTACAAGGCTGGTGCTCTACCACTCGAGCTACAACTCCTTTTCTGGCCTTTTGCTGATTAATAAAAGACAAGAGTCTCTAAAATTTGCCTGCCTGGGCTGACTTCAACCCAAATCCTCAGATCTCAGCTTCCTGAGTAGTAAGGATTACAAAAGGAAGCCACCAGCGCATGAATGAGTAATTTTTTTTTGGGGGGGGGGTCCAGTTTTGGGGCTTGAACTCTGGGCCTGGGCGCTGTCCCTCAGCTCTTCAGCTCAAGGCTAGCGCTCTACCACTTGAGCCACAGCACCACTTCTGGCTTTTTTTTTTCTTTTTGCTTATGTGGTGCTGAGGAATCGAACCCAGGGACTCAGGCATGCAAGGCAAGCGCTCTATCACTGAGCCACCTTCCCAGCCCAATGAATGAGTAATTTTTTTAAGAGACCTATGACATTAAAGTTAAGCTGTGATTTAAAAACAAGGCTCCGCTATTAACATCACAGATAATTTACTACATCTTGCAACGTGTGTAACAGACATTTATGCAAATGCCTTATCTCGTCTGTTAGGAGTTTACAGAGAATGGAAACCTTAGGCCAAGCAGGACTCAGGTAGAAGGCAAGCTGGATTTCTCCGCACTGAAAGCCAAGACTATTTTTCTTTCTCTCCAGCTGAAAGGTACTTTCAAAACTGAATGGAAGTGCTTGAAGTTGGTGCTGAAACTGTGTGTCTGCTTTGGGAACATTTCACTTCTCAAGGAGTGTTAGACAAAGACTGTGACTCATTCTTCGTAATCATCAAGTGGAGAAGATACGTGCCGGCCAGGAATTTTTTTTAAGGAGCCCTTCGCTCATGTACCAGATAGTACTTGCTTGTGATTATATGTGCACTCAGACAAGAGTACGATTTGTACCTTGATTGTCACTCACTGGGAAATTATTATTCACCTAAGACAAGGAGCTCCTTTGAGCATGATGAATGCTTCCAGAGTTAGTGACATGACATGATTTTGACAGGGGAGGGGAAGGGGGGGGGGAATCTATCACTTACCTAAAACCTTTCCCAAGAAAAGAGACTTGAGAGCATTGAATTCTGTCCCTGAGGACAAGATGATTTTTCTCTTTGCACTCTGGTTAACCTGTAACATGTCCCATGGGAAAACAAGCATCCAAAAATAAGTACGACCATTTTAATGGAAAGAAACAGAGGGGCAATAGGAAAGATAAAATAAGAATAAATCATTTGCAAGTGTTATAATGAAAGCTTTAATAATCACACACCCTCAAACAAGTTATTTTATAAACAACCTCTGAAAGCCATCTGGTTTCATACCCAACCAGGATTCACACCTTCCCCCTGTTCTACTCTTCATGATATATCTACGATAAAAGGATAGAATCAGCTATTCGGGAAGATAATTGACACCAACAGCCAAAACAGAAAAATAGTTTTCTGTTCAAGCTTAAAACCTATTTTCCTTTCTAATACTAGCAACAATTTCTTTAGTCTCTTGTTGGGCCTCTTTTTTTGTCCTGGGGCTTGAACTCCATGCCCGGGCCCTGAGCCTCTCTGTGCTCAAGGCTAGAACTCTACAATTTGAGCCACAGCACTGCTTCCAGCCTCTTCTTGGTAGTTAATTGGAGGTAAGAGTCTCATGGGCTTTACTGCCAGGGCTGGCTTTGAACCACAGTCCTTAGATCCCAGCCTTCTGAGTAGTTAGGGTTATAGGTGTGAGCCACTGATGCACTTCTAGAGCCTCATACTCTTAATTGGCTTTTTACCCTCAAGATTGATGCTCTACCACTTGAGCCACACCTCATTTCCCACTTTGCTGGTTAGTAGGAGATAAGAGTCTTATGGACTTTCCTGCCCAGGCTGGTTTCAAACTGTGATCATTAGATCTCAGCCTCCTTAATAACTAAGATTACAGATGTAAGCCACAGGCACCCAGGCTTAATATCCAATTTTGGCATTCTGTGATTCCATTCTCAAGCTCCTAATAGTTCCTTTGACATTGGAAGCTGTTGCATTACCTCTGCAAAGACCATGGCTTCCTTTCTGTTCATCTTCAGCCGGTGAAGGTGTCCATCAGCCATGTTCTTAAAGTCAAAGCGGAAAGCATCTGGATCTCGATGTCTGTCCAGCTTGTACCTAACCTGCAAACTTCCTGAAGACGAAAACAAATGGTGTCTGAAATTAAAATGAAACTCTACAAAGCTTTCAATTAGGTCCTAGAGCATCTTCTTCTCTTGATCTCTGAGTGTACTTTGGAATCTGTATATCACTGCCTCAGATAGCAGCCACCTATTCTGGAATACAACTACTCCAATGTTACACTAGGATTCCCATTATATTCTTTTATTGTGCATGCTTATATTATGTTTTAATCAGAAGAACCCACTCTACTGCCTTCTCTTTCCCTGCCTACCCTACCCAGGGGCTTTGAGATTTTTTTGTGCTGCCTCCATACATAGTTGCAACATATTTCAAAATTATTCACTTTTCATTTTTCTCTTTCCCCCTCCCTGTTGCCCCCATAGTGAGATTCCATTCTTTGTGTTAAAGTAGAGATAAAAGCCCACTGATGTTAAACAATCTCTCAAATGTCTTTTAAGTGAAAAGGTTCCAGTTATGCATATGAAAACTCAGACTTCCATAATGACTTTCTTTAAATAAAACCCATGCGATCCATGATCAATATTCAATTCTATAATTATAACAGCTGCTCTATCAGAGCCATGCCTTTACCCCTAATAAGACAATGCATTACTGACATGTACAATTTTTTTTAAAAAATTTACAACCAGTATTGTTTATTGATTATAGTTTCTGTGTTTCTGAAACACAGAAGATTCTGTTGAAACAAGTTTTCTGTATCATCTACATCTTCTAACATACACAATGCTCTCTGATAGTGATAATCCCTATTTGATGAAATTCTGCTACATTCCATACTAAAATCTTTAGTAGGATTTCTTTAGAAATAAAATTGCTGTCCTGACTCACTACCTAGCCTGGCCTTATTTATCGGCCAACTGTCAGTCTTGGAGGGCACCTCTTCTTCTTAGGTGGCTATATTCTAATTGGCTTTCAAACCACTGAGGAGAGAAAGAGCAATGATAGTTATCAGCTGTTGGTGAAAATTGGCTTTTACATAATCTTGTATCAACCCCATTAATCTATTTAACTTAGAACGAGGAGATAATATATGCCAAATGGCCAGATATCTTATTTCAAAATGACCTGCAAAGTAAATTTTATTGGAATATTAAAGATATCTTCTCATTAAATAGAACCACATGGCAAATCTGTTCATTTACAAATTTGCTATGTCCAGGAAACTGTGTGTGTGAGTGTGTATGTGCATGAGAGAGAGGAGGGAGAGGGAGAGAGAGTGTTTACGCCCCAGTCCTGGGACTTGAATTCCTGGCCTGGATGCTGTTCCTGTGCATTTGTGCTCAGGGCTAGTGCTCTACCACTTGGACCAGAGCCCTACTTCCAGCTTTCTGTGGTTAATCGAAGACTTTCCTGCCCTGGCTGGCTCCAAACCGTGATACTCAGATCTCAGGTTCCTGAGTAGCTAAGATTACAGACATAAGCCACTGATGGCTAGCTTCAATTTACTCTTAAAATACTAGCTTTTACAGTAACCACAATGGATGGGACTGAGAAACCAAAGATGTTGGGAGGTATGAGAATTTCTTTCCAAAGTGTAAACACTAAAAGACTCATGTCATTACAATCCTATTTTTCTAATTCAGTGTGTCTGGTTTGTTGTTGATACTCACCGTTGTTGGCCAGGAAAATGGAAAGGTATTCCTCGGAGAAAGAGCTCACATAAAGTAATAAACTCGGAGCTTGAGTGGTCCGGAAGCTTAGGGTGACAAAGTCACTTGACAACGAAACGTCTCTGGGTAATGAAGTGTTTTCACTTAGGGTATAATGCTCTTGAAAATTATAAGTCACTGAAGAGCCGGTCTCAAAATAAGCAGAAATCTCTGGAATAAAGAACATATCTTTGTTACCGTAACACAATTGAAGTACAAGAGTCTTTAAGTAAATATTTAAGGAATGAATCTAGTCATTAAATACTTGCGTAGATAAAGTATTGGAATATTTTATTTCCTCTCCCTCTCTCTCTCTGTATATATATAGTAATTTTTAAATATTAGGCTTCTCTACAAAAGTACAGTATAATATTTTTAAAAGGTAACAGATTCTAACACCGTCAAAACCTAGAACTGCATAACCTCTAGCAACAATTTCACTTAATTCTCCACATTTTCATTTTAGCGTTGCATAAGGCTAGTTGTTCCGTTTTAATGCATAATGTAAAGGCCACTGCTCTCAGCCTTGGGTTCCAACTTTTATTCAGAATATTAATCTGTGTTAACATCCTTACTAAAACATAACCATAAAATGGAGTCACATCCTCACAGACTTGCTACTATCAATCAATTTGAGAGTATGGTCATCATCTCTCTTCTCTTGCTGTTCCATCCCTCCATCATCCCCAGTTCTACACCCCAGGCAACCATGAATATACTGTCAATCTTCACAGATGTTCTGGTGCTGGAGAGTGTATTTTAATTGAGTCATATGTGTACTGTTGTGAGAAGCTTCTTTCACTTGGCATGCTTTCGCGTTTCATCCACACTGTGGCATGTATCAGTACCGTGCTCATTTTTATCAATGGATGGATGTGACACATTTTACATATCCAATTATCAGTTAATAAGCATTTAGATTCTTTCTACTCTGTGTCTATTGTGAATAATGGTGCAAATACCCATATGTAAGATTTTTGTGCGGACATATATTTTCATTTCATATGTACTCAGAGGGGATTATTTAGTCTTAGGATAATTACATTTTTAACATTTTGAGGAACTAGCAAGTTGTTGGGTTTTTTTCCATGCTGGGGATTGAACCCAGGGTCCTGTGCATGTTTGACAAGTGTTCTACCTCTGAGCTACATCCTTAGCCTTGGTGATTTTGTTTCTAATTTACGGCATTGTTTTACCTTTCCCAACAACAATGTATGAGAATTTCAATATCTCGACATCTTCATGAATATTTTGTCATTTTCTTTCTTACAAACTCTAGCTTCAATTATGGTTGACAACCACTAATTAAACATTTCAAAATAGCAGAGCAGATCTTGAATATTTCTAATACAAAGAAATGATGTATATCTCAGGTGATAGATACATCACTTACTACGATCTAATCATTGTATACATCAATAGATTGTATCATTTAATACATCAATACTTAAGCTACCACTGTCCTCCATAAATATGCATGAAGTATTCCAGAAATATGCATAATTAATGTGTCAAGTATATACACATACACACATACATACACATATAAATGCAGTCACTGTAATTGATGTAAAGTCATTATCTCATTGTGAATTTGATCTCCATTTTTCTACCGGTTAATGTTGCCAAACATTTTTCCAGGTGTCTTTAGGCCATTTGTATGTATTTGATGAAGAAATCTATGGGAACACTTTGTCCATTGCTTAATTAGGTTATCTGTGTTTTTATAATTAAATTGTAGGAGCTCTTTATGTAATCTGGTTATTAGGCCCTCATAAGATAAATGATTTGCAAACATTTTCTTACATTATTTGGAGTTTTTACTTTCCTGATGGAGCCCTTTGAATTACAAAAGTTGTGTTTTTTTTAATTTTGATGAAATTCAGATAACTTTTTTCTTTCTCCTCTTACTGTCTTCCTTTTAAGGATGTAGACTTTTAATTCTCTCTTTTTCTTGCTCTCTCTCCCTCTCTCTTTCCCTCTTTCTGTTTCTTCTCTTTCTCTTTATCTCTGTCTGTGTACGTATATGTGTGTACTAAATATATTTGGGGAGATTAATCTGATATAAAATTACTTTGGGGCCTCTACTCAGAACAACACAGGTCAGGATATCGTAAAGATAGTGAGAGGTGATCATTGTCTTGGTCATTTTTTTTCTATTTCTATTAAATAAAATAAATTCACTGAAAATCCAAATTATTCTTGTTTTGATTAGGAAACTTAACTATAACTTCTTTTCTACCCTACTACTAGAGGGCCATTTCCCATTCAACTAAACATACTATCTATGTCTCATATATCTTTAGGTTTTAAAATGGTATTTGCATTGCTTTTAGTCAGTGCAGACTGGAGTTATTTAGAAGTTATCACAGTGCTCCTGAAAAGAGGCTCATCTTTGAGATAGCTTGTCATGCAGGGGGCTCTGTATCTGACCTAGAATTATTAGGTTAGTCATGACTGATAGGTCTTAAATGATAGTTTATTCAAGAAAATGTATGGAAGACTTTTCAAAGGTACATTTTGAAAAACTTTTTCAATAACTTATAGATAAGTAATTCTCAAAAATTCTTTAAAAGTCACACAATTGTTTTTGTAGCAGTTAAAGCCAGTCACATTCCTAAACATAATGTATGTGACAACTCAGAGACCCTGAAAATTTCATTACATTTCATTTTGACTTCTCAGTGTTCTAGAAGGTTCCATACAAGTATTATAAATGCAAGTATAGTCAAGAAATCAGCACAGTGTATTTAGTACTCACACCCGTCCCTTCCTTTCAGAACACCTGAGAAGCACAAGATTGTCCTATGACATTCTCCCAAGAACAAATGGTCAAATAATAAACAGGAAACTGGCTGGCAGGTCCTGTAATCATGACATGTCATATTTAAATACATATTTTCCCCTCCTAGATCAGATGTTTGTTCATGTGAAAATGCAATTTTTAAAAGTATTCTTGCATGACATCAGTCATTTGGGTCAAAAAATATCTTGAAACCACAGAAGAGCGTTTTGAAAAACCTGATTGTTTTAGCTGGGCACTGGTAGCTCATGCCTGTACTCCCAGCTACTCAGGAAGCTGTGACATGAGGATTGTGGTTCAAAGCCATCCCAGGCAGGAAAGTCCAGGAGATTCTTATCTCTACTTAACCACCAGAAAATTGAAAGTGGCACTATGGCTCAAAGTGGTAGTGTGCTAGCTTTGAGCAAAAAGGCTCAGGGAAAGCACCCAGGCCCTGAATTCAAGCCTCATGACCAACAAGAAAAAAAAAAGTAATTATTTTGAAAATGTTAGCATTGCACAGAAAATAGAAATAACATAGAGAATTATGTTGCATTTAGGAGATTTAAGCTTTTAAAAATACTCACATCCCATTCCTAATATAATGGAAGAATTTGGGACAGAAATGTCTCTATTGTCAAATAACCTTGCAAACTTATTCTTTCTTAACAATGTCAAAGTTTTGGCTATATCCCTTATGGAAAGTTTGATTGGGTTCCTGTGGCGCACTCCTGTAGTCCTAGCTACTCAGAAGGCTAAGATCTGAGGGTCATGATTCAAAACCAGCCTGCCTAGGCAGGAAAGTCCAAGAGACTCTTATCTCCAACTAGCCAGCAAAAATCTAGAAGTAGAGGGATGGCTCAAGTGGTAGAATGCCAGCCTTGAGAAAAAGAGCTAAGGGACAGCACCCAGCTGCTGAGTTCAATCCCCAGTACCAGCACATACGTGCTCTGTGATCCACTTTCTGGTCCTACTGACCTTGCGAGCAGAAGGGTCCTTCGAAGGCAGAGGAGGCACAGTCACACTGGATCCCTGCGTGTTTTTCTAGGCATCTTCCCCCATTATGGCACAGATGGCCATAGCTGCTGCAGTGGCCTGCGCACCCCGGCTCCACACCTGGCGTCACGGTGGCTCTTTCTTCCAGGTCCAGGGCCACCCCATTCAGCCGCAGGCCCCGGATACAGCCCAGGAAACCCCTCTGCCTGCTGGCAGTTCCCCCTACAAGCAAAACACTGAAAATACAAATGTGCTCCTTGGTATTTTATTCAGGATTTTATGTCTATATCAAAATCAGGCCTTATGGAGGGGGTGAGTACTGACTTTTTTCCCAAAAGTGCTGTGAGTACACATAACTTTAAAAAGAACACATTTTGCCAGATTTCATGAAACCTAAGTGGTCGTAAGTGAAACATGAGTCACACAACTTTTAAGCATGTTACAACTGGCTAATATTCATACTAAAATTGTTTTTCCTTTCTCTTCTTCCTCCTCCTTTGCCTTCTATTCTGTCTCTCCTCTTCCTCTTTCTTCTTTTCCTTCTTTTCTTCCTCACCTTCCTCCTCTTCCTTCTTCTATCTTTATAAGTAGATGAACACAGATTATGTGCCTGTTCTTTCTATCAGGTAGTTAGATGGTTTTTAGGCCTTTGAAGAGGCTTGCTTCTCATCTAATATGAGAACCAACTAGGCTTTAAGATCTATTTTATGGAACCACTATGTATAAACTGTCCCGTCAAAGACACACACACACAAACAGACCTACACATTCGAATTCATTGTGAGGCAGTTAGTGCCCAGGAGTTGTGTGTATTTTCTAGTAAAAATAGGCTACATGATAATCTGTGCTTCAGGCCAGTGTCTACTTAGATTGAGACCTTAATTTCTTCAAAATGCATACAAAATCAACAAGAGAGAATGCTACAGTCTGAATTTGCTTAGTTTCTAAGCTTGAATGGAGTAATCTGAAAAGGAAGATAGCAAGATATATTTCCCTTTAAGAAAAATAAAAACAATGACAAAACCATGAATAAACAAATTAGAAGGAAGACTTCTACTATCCAGATCTAGAATCTTTAAGCAAGTAAACTGCAAGAATAAAGCAAGAAGCGCGAGATGGAAAAGCGTGTGACAGGAGAGTGGAAGGGAAGAAGAAAGGAGTGAGATCCTGAATGTTCTACCACGGGCAGATGCACTGTGCTCCCATTATGGACTCAGTTTCTTAGGGTTGGTCTGTTTATTTGTTAGTTTGTTTTTGTTGGTCATGGGGCCTGAACTCTGGGCTTGGGTGCTGTCCCTCAACTCTTCAGCTCAAGGCTAGCACGCTACCACTTGAGCCACAGAGCCATTTCTGGATTTTTCTGCTTATGTGGTGCTAAGGAATCAAACCCGGGGCCTCATGCATGCAAGGCAAACGCTCTACCCGTGAGCCACCTTCCCAGAACCCCCTATGGTCTGTTTTTGAGCAGACACTGGAGGAATAAAATTGTGTTGATAAAACAAAGCAGTCACAGATGCCAGTCAGACTTGGGCATCAGATATCTTGAGTCGAGATTCCATATATTAGTTGTCTCATATGTCAACAGGAAATACAGTAATAATGCTTACAAAATGACATGTCAAATAAGAAGCTTATAGCAAGCACATGGAACCTTCTAGATGATGACTACACAGAGCCAAGGCAGTAGCCATTTGCAATTGTTACTGAAGGTACTTTCATCATTATGATTGTCTCTTGGCCCATCGCTACAGACCACCCCCCTCCACATGTTCCACTATAAACCAGTGGCACTCACCAATGAAGAGCTGGCTGTTGAGTTGTAAGCGGATATGCCCGTCAGCTGGGGCAGGCTGTATCTTTTGAGGGAGCTGATCCACTTGAAGAGATGCTCCTTTAATGTTCCTTTCTGCCCTCACGCGGTGCCACCGATTGTCATTGAAAGGAGTGGGTGACTGCACTGTGACCTCGCAAGGTCCATTTCCCACATCGAAAGAAAAGGTCACTTCTGTAGGAGCTGCAAAGATCACATGGGAATCTTGCCCAAGTTAATTCACTGGGGACAAAACTACATCTTGAGCAGGCTTTGGAAAAAAATGATGACATGCTCATTACCAGAGAACACAATGCAAGAAAAATATGACTGACTTGGGGAAAAGGAACAAAATACCCAGGAGGAAAACTGATACATTTATCCTTAGAGTTTACTATTCAGTCTTGCTAAGTCCGGACTCAATCTGGCTCAGTGCTAATACAGAGATATATATCCCTAGCTAGAATATGGAATATAATTTGTTTCAGGTGTATAAACAAGTTTTACTTGCAAATGGTTCAAAGCTTCCTCCAATTTAAAAGACACTAAATGTAAGCCAGATGCCAGTGTTTAATGAAAAGCTGAGATCTGAAGGACTGCAGTTCAAAACCAGCCAACCTGGGCAGACAAGTGTGTGAGATTCCATCTCCAATTAACCAGCAAATGCTGGCCTGGAGGAGTGGCTCAAGGGGTAAAGCTGCAGCCAAGTAAGCAAGCCAAGTTCAAACCCCAGAAACTAAGAAAAAGAAAAGGAGGGAGGGGAGAAGCCACTAAATGTAAATGTTGTCAGTAATTGGTTAAACTTTGATTGTGGGAATGTGGCTTAGTGGTAGAGTTCTTGCCTAGCATGTTTGAAGCCCTGAGTTCAATTCCTCAGCACATGAACAGGAAAAGCCAGAAGTGGCACTGTGGCTCAAGTGATAGAGTGCTAGCCTTAAACAAAAGACTCTCAGGGACAGTGCCCAAGGCCCTGAGTTCCAATCTCAAGAGACCGGCAAAAAATAATAATAATTGTTGGGCTGGGAAGGTGGCTCAGTGGTAGAGTGCTTGCCTTGCATGCATGAGGCCCTGGGTTCCATTCCTCAGCACCACATAGCAGAAAAAAATTAAAAAGCTGGAAGTGGCTCTGTGGCTCAAGTGGTAGAGCGCTAGCCTTGAGCTGAAGAGCTGAGGGACAGCGCCCAGGCCCAGAGTTCAGGCCCCATGACCAGCCCCCCCCCAAAAAAAATAATTGTTTTAAATCACAGAATCTTACAGTTTAATTAAAAAATATATAATTATAAGGTAAGGATGACAATAACTTAAAATTTTATTCAACTTGCTATTTATTTGTATTTTTATTTATTTATGTATTGATTTATTTTAATTCTGATCCTGGGGCTTGAACTCAGGGCCTTGTGCTCTGAGTTTTCTTACTCATAGCTGCTGCTTTATCACCTGAGCAATGCCTCCAGTCCAGCTTTTTTGCTAATTAACTGAAGATTGAGTTTCTTTGACTTTTCTGTCAAAGTTGGCTTTAAAATACAACCCTCAGACCTCAGCCTCTTGAGTAGCTAGGTTCACAGACATGAGCCATAGGCACCTAGCTATCGGTTTATTTTTGTGACTAGAATAATTGGTATTTGTGCTTTGTTCCCGCCGTGGGGCAACGTACCACGCAGCTCCATCCTGATAAAGTCTGTGATTCCCAGGTTTTCCATGAACACACCAGAGGAAATGGTAGTCTTAAAGAAGAAATGCACGTCAGCAGTCAGTTCTCCGTGGAAAGTAGGGAAATGAAGGTATGACGTCTCAGTGTTGAAGGAAGCTGAATTCCAAAATGATTCTAGTAGGAAAGGCAAAACAGTCATGGATCGTTTTTTCCTGCTGAGCATGTTTAAAGGGATGTAGGTCCTCACCGGAGGGGTGGTAAAGAATACATCATATAACCATGCTGTCACTATCCAAACTGTGAGTACTTTGAGGACTAGGATTCTATTTGGAGAAAAGGCAAAGCAAGATTGTCACCAGTTACCACACCAACCTCGTGGCAAGGGACAGTAGTGTCTTGAAGTAGGGTGGTTTACCACCCTGGGAGGTGGTGACAAATGTAGAACACAAGAAGAAGAGGCCAGTCAGAGAGGATGCCAAGGTTTTTGGTGCGACTGGCTGGGAATAATTTTGAAGAAGCAAATTTGATATTTTTGGATCTATTAACTTTGAAATCTCTACAATTTCAGATCCATTATATTTGAAAAAATATCACTCAGAATGGGAAAAATGCAGTGTGACTCAAGAATTTTATTCTAGTCCAGTCGTCCTAAGAGTGAGGGATAATGCATGAATACTCCAAAGTGTTCGCAAACTCGGGAAATAGGTGTCACTTAAGGACTGTTAGAAGAAAAACAACAAATTAAAAACAACAAACTAGCCAACTAATAAATACAATTATTTATAAATAAATACAGGTTAAATATTCCTAATTCAAAAATCCCCAAATTCAAAATACTCCAAAATCCAACTTTTCTGAGTACTGATATTCCATCAAAAGTGAAAATTCCAGGGGTTGGAAGGTGGCTCAGTGGTAGAGTGCTTATCTTGCATGCATGAGGCCCCGGGTTCGATTCCTCAGCACCACATAAGCAGAAAATGCCAAAAGTGGTGCTGTGTATTCCAAAATCTGGAAAATTGGCACCAAGTATTTCAGATGAAGTAGAGCTAAATTTCACTTCACCAGTGAAAAATTGACCTTTTGCAAACATGACAATTTCATATCTGTTTTTATATCTCTGCATTTTCTTATTTATGCTTTCATAGCTATGGTTTCAAATATTTTGTTTTATGCTGTTTTCAGTACTGCGACTTGAACTTGCTTGCTTGCTCATCTATGGTGCTCTACTACTTGAGCCACACCTATAGCCTGACTTCTTAATGAGGACTTTTGTCTATCCAACCTAACTTTGAATCTTTGTCCTCCAGAACTTACCTTCCTGAGTAGCTAGAATTTGCATGAGGCACTATGCTCAGTTCATGATTTTGATCTTAAATATTTGCAGAGGCTCATGTGATAAAGACTGGGTTACTAGCTTGTGAGTTTAGTAGGAGGTGGTGGAATCTTTAGGAGGCGGAGCCTAATGGTAGGACATTAGGTCATTGGGGGCATGGCCTTGAAGATGACTTCCATGAAGCAAGCAACTTTTGCTCTACCACATGGTTCCACCTCACTACAAGCCCAGTCATCACAGAGCTTACCGTGGGTTGAAACCTCAGAAACCATGAATGGTTCATTTCTAACTCACTGAAGTATGTGGTCCCACTAATTAAAAAGCTAATTAACCTAACACATTTCTGACATTTTTCCAGGTCTGAAGCATTGACACTGGTTGTTTTCTGTGACCAAAATAAGGATATTTTCCTATTTTTTAGGATCAAAATATCTTATTAGAGAAAGAAAAAAAATCTCTTCAGTACTTACTGTCACCCTGGCAGAGCAGAGGCCCCAGGGTGTAAGCAGCTTCAGAATGTAGTTGGCCGGTGTCCTTCATCACAATCTTAGTGACAGGCAGGTGCTCCTTCTGAGAAAGGACAATTGTGTCACTGGTCCTACAAAACAGCAACCCAAACCCTTAAAATTATTTCACTAATATAGGACACAATTAACAGATGGTATCATATAGCAATTTGAAACTGACACTATAAGACTTAATGGAATACTTTAAAAAATTTAGTATTTTGACAACCACCATTGACATACAAATAGTTATTAAGAATCTACATGAAAAATTGGCAATTTATTTTTGATCGGGGGCCATGTAGTGGCTTCTCGGGCCATGCAGCCTTTCTAACAACTGCTGAACTCTGCCACCAACCTGCCAAAAGGGCAAGATCATGTTGCAATGATAATTTATGAGCACTGAGATTTGAACTTCAGGCAAGTTTTATGTGTCTTGAAATAGTCTTCCTTTTAATTTTCAGCACTTGGAAAGGTCAAAATTCTTAGCTCATCAGACATCTAAAAACAGGCCAGTGGATGGACTTGACCCACAGATGTCAGAAATGTGTTAGGTTAATTAGCTTTTGATCAGTGGGATCACATACTTAAGTGAATTAAAAGTGAACCAAAATAAGCATTTTGGTTTCCAAGGTTTCAATCCATGGTCGGTTGGCTCTGTGAAAGGTGAGCAACTCCTGATCCATTCGCCAATTCCTGACGTCACTGCCCACACCGTGAAAAAGTGGGGGAGCAAATTAAGGAGGATGAGATGACCTTGGATGGCATCTGAAAGATAACTAAGCTGATAACTGCTCTCCAAAACTAAGTCTTAAGATAATACTGTAATGATCATTCATTACAAATATAAACAGTTAACACTTTAGATTTTGGATTTTTTAACTTTTTTGTCATCGGTCATAGGGCCTGAACTCTGGGCCTGGGCGCTGTCCCTCAGCTCTTCAGCTCAAGGCTAGCGCTCTACCACTTGAGTCACAGCACTACTTCCGGCTTTTTCTCCTTATGTGGTGCTGAGGAATTGAGCCCAGGCCTCACGTATGCAAGGCAAGCGCTCTACCACTGAGCCACCTACCCAGCACTAGCCACAGGATTTTATTGTTAAACTTTAAAGGTCTTTTTAATAGTTATTGGATGTCTGTTTCCTTGATAATATCATGAGCTATAAAACCGAGCCCACAGGTTCAAAACTAGAAGCAATACAATCCCTGCTTTAAGGAATAACCAGACTAAGTGTGGGAAATTATTCTGTTCAATGTGAGATCCAGAATCAGGACAGCCAGACAAATAGAGGTCATCTTCTATTGATCAGCTTTGTGCCAGGCATTAACGATGCAGTGTGAAAAATAGAGTCCATGACACCCCAAAAGTATACAACCCAATGACACTTTGAGTACTAATTATTGACTTGAAGGGAATGATGTCCCTCAAAGAGACTGGTCAATGGATTGCCCATATTGTGGATTGTGTAATTTCTGCTGAAGTGACTTTCTTGGCCTTTGGGGCATTTTTAGCAGAATTCCTCACTCCTGCTAATTAGATGCCAGCAGAAACAGCCCTTGTCTTTTCAACAGCAAAAATGTCTTCAATGTATGCTAAATATCCCCTGGTGTGAGGGTTTAAAGTTCTAAGAAGTCCTGATATCTGTGAGGTGTGAATCAATACATTTAACCAGTGTCCTAATTCTCTTAAAGTTTTCTGATTTTTTGGTCATGAAAGGATTCTAATTGTTTTTTTTTTTTTTTAAAGAACTTCATAGCTTTTCACATTGCAAGTAACTTTTACTAGAGCCTGGGTGCTTTCTCTAAGTTTTGGGTTTTGTGTGTGTGTGTGTGTGTGTGTGTGTGTGTGTGTGTGTGTGTGTGTGTGTGTGTGATCTAAGTCAGCACTCTATCACCAGAGCCACAGCTCCACTTCTGGCATTTTGGTGATCAATTGGAGACGAGAGTCCTATGGACTTTCCTGCCTGGGCTGGCTTCAAACTGCAATCCTCAGATTTCAGCCTCTTGAGTAGCTAGGATTACAGGTGTGATACACTGGTGCCTGGCTTTATTTGTTGCTTTTTAAAGGTCAGAAATAATCAATTAGAAGTAAAATAATATTAAATCTTCATGCATGACTATTATAACAAATTCACTCGTGGATTTTTTTAAGACAATAATGGTCTGCCTATTGCAGAAAGTAAATAGGTCTCCTGAACATTACTTAATGGTTGTAGCATATTTTTAATTATTATTGTTATTGTTATTAATATCATTGTTATTATTATTCCAATTTGGTGACTTGAGTTTAAGGTCTTGTGCTCTTGCTTGGCTTTCTGCTCTACCATTTGAGCCATAACTCTAGTCCAGCATTTTGCTGGTTAATTAGAGTCTTGATTTTTTTGTACAGGCTGTCTTTAAATGGTGGTTCTCAGATCCCAGCCTCCTAAGTAGCTAGAATTACAGGTGTGAGACAGCAGTACCCATCTTAAGTTATTATAGTACTTTTATATAGATTAGATTTACAATTGATGTTTGGTACATTGTAATTACTGCAGTAAGTCAGTAGAAATTTTGTGCTTTGATCATGAAGTTTTTTTTTTTCACATGTATTAAATAAGCTACTGACTGGGAACAAGTTACAGAAAAATACTTATAATGCTACTGATTATATTCATGCATATGCACATGATTTGATAGATAACAAAATAACTTTCCCACTTGCTTCTATTCCTGAAAAAATATTGTTCCATAAAAAAAAATTCCCCATCAGGAAAAAGTGACAAAGCATTTCAACTATTACAGCAAAGACTTTGAATTAAAAAGCAGGATTAATGTTCTTATTTTTACATCTTAATCAGGACTACATAATCACCCATCTTATCTTTACATGTAACTTTAATTGCAAAATCCTTATGTGTAAGACCGGTAAATTCCATTGTTATAAACTTCAATTTGACTTGAAAAATTAAGAGACTGAATTCCTTGTAAGCGTTCTATATACCCAATCATTTGCAAATCATGGTTTGGGGGATGGGAAGACAATTCATAATGGTGTATTCTTAGGCATGAATAAGATCTGTGTATCCGCAGTATTGAAGTAAATAAATGTAAAATACAAATAATTCTATGATCATTTCTTTTTAAATCAGAATTTGATTTTTTCCCAAGTTTTTTTTCCCTAAATGTCCTTAACAATGGAAAGCCCAGGTCTCAGCAATTTGTTTCTCCCAAGGACTGGGAAGACATTCAAAAGGTATCAGAAGATTTGGAGTCTCCTGGGCTTTCTGTCCCCTCCACTCATCAGGAAGGTCATTTAACAAAGAAGGCTGTGTTGGTATGGTGACATGTTCCTTTAGTTCCTGCTCTAAGCAAATGTGGTCCACACTAAAGTATGTGCTAAAAGATAGAAAGGTCTATAATTTTAAAAAGAGAAATTTCTAGCGTTCTTCAAACTACTTTCTAAAACTAGTGGGAGGTAGACAATTTGGATGTTCTTGCAACACCCTATGAAATCTCTTCTCTTTGACTTATACAAATGGGGAAAGGGCCAATGGCCTCCGTCTCCTGAGCTGCCCACAGCTGGAGGCTGGAGCCTGACAATCAAGAGCTGTGGAAAGAAGCAAAGGAAAATCCCAAGGGTTAAAAGAGATAACTTTCAGGAACTGAAGTTAGATGTGCATCTCCATATGGAGCCCAAAGTTAATAGGTGTCAGTCAATTGCAATATCAGGTATTTTATGTTGTATATCTTAACCTTTACAAAGACATTTTAATTGACAGAAGGTGATTTAAGATCTGGAATTACTAGTAAAACAAATTGAAATTGTAAGTGAGATTTTTTCCCCCTATTGCTTGCTATACTTACTCATGTTTTTTGTTTGTTTGTTTGTTTTGGGTCCAGTCGTGGGGCCTGAACTCTAGGCCTGGGCGCTGTCCCTCAGCTCTTCAGCTAAAGGCTAACGCTCTACCACTTGAGCCACAGTGCCACTTCCGGCTTTTTTTCTTTTTGCTTATGTGGTGCTGAGGAATCGAGCCCAGGGCCTCAGGCATGCAAGGCAAGCACTCGACCACTGAGCCACCTTCCCAGCCCTTACTCATGTTTTTTATTGAGGTAAAGTTGCAGTGAGATTGTATACCACTATATTGGAATAAAGCATCTCATGAATGTACTTGCAGATCCAATTCCAGCTGTTTGCTGGTTAACTGGAGATAAGAATCTTATAGACTTTTCTGCTTTGGCTAGCTTTAAACTGTGACCTTTGGATCTCAACCTGTTGAGTAGCTAGGATTACAGAATTGAGCCACTGGTGTTCAGCAAAACATATATTTTTATCTATGAGCATACTTAATGCATGAATGTACTTTAGTTATTTTTTATACCAGCTCATGTGAACGTTTTTAAGGATTAAAAACTACTTTTATGCACAGGGAAATCACGTGGAAATCACCATTCACTCTGGTCAGCATCACAGTTGCAGTGATATTGGGAATCAATGCAGTTGCCTTCTAATCCACAAGTGCACTTTTGAGAACCTCCCCAGTACATTTGCGTCTCATTGGTCCTTCCAGCCCACCAGCTCAGTGGAGATCCACCTGAAAGATAAGGACGAGAAAGGTCATATCTATACTGCCCCTCATTCCCACTCCAATGTATTCCCTTCACTCCCAGATTTTGTGTGGGGAGAAGGAAAGGGGAGGGGAAAGGAAGGCAAGGGAGAGGAGCAGTGGAAGAGAGGGGAGCAGTGGAAGAGAGGGGAGGAGAGGAGGGGAAGAGAGGGGAGGAAAAGAGGAAAAGAGAGGGAAGGAGAGGAGAGGGGAGGGAAAGAAGGGAGTGGAGAAGAGAAAAGGAAGGGGAGAGGTAGGGAAGGAAAGAAGGGAAAGAAGAGGAGGGGTGGGAGGGAAGCAAAAAAGAATACATTTGAGAAGATATTTTAACCCCCATCATAGATATAGATTCTTTAAGGATATTGATCAAACTCTCTTCCCTTCATCCAGTCCCGGGTCTCAAAAGGTAGGCTTAAATTATTACCATCTATTTTTCTTTTATTAGACAATGACTCCTTAACTTATTTGGAAATATTACACATTCTCCATATGACTAACATTTAAAAATTTCACCATCCAAACAGATTCAAGAAGAATTTATATCCGGAAGAGTCTGTTTGAGATGATAAAATGCTGATTTATTGGCCTATCTCATCCCATATTTTTGGTGAGGACATTTGTTATAGATTCCACATTTGGTATGGGATTTCCTAAAACATGGTATTCCCTGTCATAAGTGAATACACTTTTGTTGTGGGATGTGTTTTGCTTGCATTACATGGCCTGGCTATTCATTGAGATGCTAACACATAGCACTAGTAAATGTTGTTCAGGCCACAAATATTCATGAATTGAATATTATGCTCAGAAACAAAAGTACCCTGGGTCACTAATATTCTGACCAGTACAGATATTCAGCACCATCTCTGGGCACTAGCAATAATTAAATGACAATGCCAGATACTAGTTTGTTCTACAGAATCACATGTTAAGATCAGAAGTGCAACTAAGGCCTGAGCGCTAGTGGCTCACACCTGCAATCCTAGCTACTCAGAAGGCTGAGATCTGAGATCTGAGGATCATAGTTCAAAGCCAGCCCAGGCAGGAAAGTCTGTAAGACTCTCAGCTCTAATGAACCACCAGAAAGCCAGAAGTGATGCTATGGTTCAAAGTGGTAGAGTGCCAGCCTTGAGGAAAAGAGCCAGGGACAGTGCCCAGGCCCTGAGTCAAGCCCCATGACAGAAAGAAAGAAAAAGAAAGAAAGAAAGAAAGAAAGAAAGAAAGAAAGAAAGAAAGAAAGAAAGAAAGAAAGAAAGAAAGAAAGAAAGAAAGAAAGAAAGAAAGAAAGAAAGAAAGAAAGAAAGAAGGAAGGAAAGGAAGGAAAGAAGGAAGGAAGGAGAGAGAGAGAGAGAGAGAGAGAGAGAGAGAAGGGAGGGAGGGAGGGAAGGAGGGAGGGAGGGAGGGAGGAAGGGCAGGCCAGCCATTGAGTGTGGGAGCTAGCATACAGAAGCAGGAAGATTATCTATCCCAAACAGAGAGAGAAAGTGGCCGACAACAGGTTGCAGCCATCACCAAATTAGAGCATGAGGGAAATGGAATTGGATTAACTCAATCTATTTCTTAAACAGCGCTTTACCATTTGGTGCCATTTTTCAAATTTATATATTATTACAATTGGATGCTACATCAAGATCTGGAACTTTACTTAGTTTCTACTTACTGCTTATTACAATTAGTTTCTAGTGAAGATTTTCTGTATTCCTTACTACCACTTCAAATACAAAACACCAATTCTGAGAAGTTTATGAAGAAAGCAATATCTAGAGCCTTTTTAAAATGCATTAAACAAGCCAGGCGTCGGTGGCTCACACCTGTAATCCTAGCTACTCAGGAGGCTGAGATCTGAGGACGGTGGTTCAAAGGCAGCCCTGGCAGGAAACTCCATGAAACTCTTATCTCCAATAAACCACTAGAAAACCGTAAGTGGCACTGTGGCTCAAGTGGTAGCACACTTGCCTTGAGCTGAAGAGTTGAGGGAGGGAAAGCGCCCAGGCCCAGAGTTCAAGCCCCACAACTGACTAAATAAATAAATAAATAATATATTAAATCTTGCTGAGTGCCAGTGGCTCATAAGTGTAATCTTAGATACTCAGTTGGCTGAGATCTAAGGATCGTGGTTCAGTGTCAGCCAGGGCAGGAAAATCTGTCAGACTCTTATCTCTAATTAACTACCAAGAAAAAAAATCTGGAAGTGGAGCTGTAGCTCTAGTGAGATATATATAAATATAAGATATATATGTATATACATATATATGCTTATATATACACCAGTGTGTGTATGTAACATATATTACACATATATATATGTGTGTGTTATGAAATTGAGGACCAGAATTATCTTTAAGTGGAACAGTGCCATTTGAACATAGATGTAGATTAGTTATATACAGTACATTAGTATATATTAGTCTTAGCATATAGTATATACTAGTATATTAGTATAGATTAGTTATAATATATAGTATATATTAATTATATAGTATATTAGTTACATACTTCCTACTCAAGTGAAATCATCTAAAGGTTAAGGAGAATTATATGCTGAAAATGAGAAAATGGTATATAACATCATATAAGAAACTCAGTTAAAAGCAGAAAATATAAAGAGATTTCAAAGCAAGGAAAGGGGTGGGAAAGCAGGAGGGTATAAAAGAAGACAATTGCTTCCAAGGGTTCAAGTTGTGAATGCTTGGCCCCCCGTGTGGGAGGTGGTATGACCTTGAAGAAGCTATCTGGTGGAGGGATCCTTTGTTATCTTTAGCCTGGTTATATTTCTATCTGAGATTATATGTTGTAGTATAATTTTGTTCTTTCAAGTTCATTAAAGTGTATGTTATGGTTATATTTGTGTTCATGTATTTGAGAAGAACGTGAGTTCTGTAATTGTTGGTGTGAAGTATTCTGTACATATCACTTTGATCCAGTTGACTGATGGTGGTGTTTAGTTCAAATACATCCTCCAATGATTTTCTGCCTGCTGGATCTGTTCATTAGTGATAGAGGGTATTGAAGCCTCCAGGGGTCAGAGTGCATTTGTCTCTTTGTCCTTGGAGTTCTGTCAGTTTCTGCCTCATATATTCTGATTCTTTGTTGTTAGGTGCATTAACATTAAGCACTGTCATGTGTTCTTGGAAAACGGATGCCTTTATCATTGTGTAACCCCCTTCTTCATCCCTAATGACTTTCCTTACTCTTATCTTTAAATTAATTCCACTACTCTAGCTTTCATTTAGTTAGTGCTAGCATGGAATGTCTGTCTATATCCTTACATCTATTAGAGCAGTCCAAATCCAAATCACGGGCACCACTAAATGCTGACAAGGATTGGGGTAGCAGGAACCCCCATTCATTGCTGGCAGGAGTGTGAAAGAGTAAAGTCACTTTGGAAGACAGTGTGGTACCTATTTAATAGCTTAACTGTCTTATCATAAGATCCTGCAATTATGTTCCTAGGCATGTACTCAAGTTAGTTGAAATGTGTGTTGGGGGCGAGGCGGGGGGAAAGAAGGAATGTGAAAGGGGGGCAGGGGAGGAATGGGAACTAACCCTGCTCTAGGTAGATATAGTATTCAGGATGTTGTGATAATATTGGTAGAGGGACAGACATAAAGATTAATGAAACAGATGAAGAAACTAGAAATAGATGCACCACACAAAACTATCTGATATTTGAGAATGTTGAAATTACAATTCAATAGAGGAAGGATTGTCTTTTAACAAATAAGATTTTAGAGCAATTGGACCTTCATTAATGCAGAGAGAAGAAAAGAGGAAAAGAGAGAGATGATTCTTACATTTTATAAATTATATAATAATGACTATAATGTAATTATTATAGTTATGCAATAATTATAATATAATCATTATGTTTATGTAATTATATATAATCATTATATATTACAATTATGCAATATATACTTATATGTTATATTATGTAATATATAATATAATCAATAATCATGATAAAATTATTTATATTCATCAAATGTACATATAAAAAACATCCCAAAGAAGTAAATAGTAAAGTCAAAAGTAAAATACAATACAGAAAAAATAAGAAAACCTTTGGAATTTAGTATTTACCACAGGGAAATGACAAGTGAAGTTCACACATTCAAATGGCCAACAGCCAAATGTCTTTCTGTAAGTGAATGGTTTATCCATACTGTGGATTGTCATCCAGTAATAATAAAGAACAAATTATTGATAGGCAACGGTGATCATGAATCTCCAGTGAATGATGCAGAGTAAAAGAAGTCAATCCCAAAGGACACACTCTGGGATTCCATTTATGTGACATACTTTGAATGAAAACAGCAATGACAGCACCATAGAGAATAGGTTAGTGGTGGCCTGGACTGGAAGGCTGGAAGGGGAAGAAGGTGTGGTTATGGAAGGGATTCTCGTACTGATGGAGGCACTGTGTATTTTGACTGTCATCAATGTCAGTGTGTGGCTTTGATACTGAACGTCAGCTTCACAAGACGTCAGTCACCATTGGGGGAACTGGATATAGGGTACTCGGGTTCTTTCAATTATTTTTCACGATTGTGGATGAGACTCTTGTTATCTTGCTTGCTTGCTGTCATTGTGTATATTTTTATTGTTATTATAGAAGGTGATGTACAGAGGAGTTAAGTTATGTAAGTCTGGTAATGAGTACATTTCTTTTTGGACAGTGTCTCCACTTCCCTCAGGCTCTTTCTCTCTCCCTGTAGTTATCTTAAGATGTGAAAAAGTGTTAACCATTTTTTAAACTCCAATAAAATCATAAGGGACAATTATATCATCTTTTCCAAAGGAAAGCAGAAGGTGGGGGAAACTGTCAATGTCTGAAATAGAACGTTCAAGTTCCTCAATTATTTCAACCCATAGCACAGAAATTGGCAGGGAGAGAGGGGGTGGAGGGAAAATCTTTCAGTGATCTTTAAAAAAAAAAAATAAAGCCTTCCTAAGCCCACTCTGTTTGTTGTACCAATTACATCATAATTTCCGGGTATAAAGCACAGGCATCAGCACAATTGCAGAGGTAAACATGACCTCCTTTTACAATGTTGTACAGTATAAGATTCTCCTGACTGGCTAATGTCCACTAGCAAAGCAAAGCAGGTCAAAGTTTGTGGGTGGTATGAGCAAAATGTAGGCTATTTTCAACTCCCATTTCATCTTTACTCTAATCAGAAGCTTCTGGAAATTCTAGGTCCATTTTAGATGTTTGTCTAGGGCTCTGGTGGCTTACATCTATAATCCTAGCTATTCAGAAGGCTGAGATCTGAAGATCTGCGTAGGCAGAAAACTCCAGGAGACTCTTACCTCCAATTCATCTGCAAAAAGCTGTAAGCGCAATGTGCACGTGTGCATACACATGAAAATTTGAAAGAAGTATGGATTAAAAAACAGGCAGAGAAAATCTGTTGGAGTGCTATGAACATTATATATCTTCATGCATTGATGTTGGTAATTCAGGATATATGTCTGATATATAAATTATATATGTATGTTCATATATATGTATATATAATTATATACACATTATATCTGTCAGCCTTTCTTATTAATATTTATATATGTTATATGTTCATGTACATTGTTTATGTTACATATGTAAATACATATAACATATTACTTTACTATTATATACCATAATAAATATATAACAAATATATAAAATATAGCAAATATAATTTTATATATAATGTATTTTTTATTATTTCATTTAATTTTATGTATGGTACATTATATATTATATACATATCCTATTAATTCAATAAAAGATCTATTCACTTTAAAAAGAAGGTTTATATTTAAAATTCTCTACCAGCAGCCATATAATGGTTGCTATAAGACATGCAAATACAGAATGTGAGTTTTGAATGTGCATAGAAAAGTGCCAATATTTTGTTACTAACAACTTCGTCCTGTTTTCACTTGCAATCATCTATTCTTCAAATTAAAAATGGCTTTCCTGTGTGTAGCTGGCAAAAATCTTCTTCCATTCTGGAGTCTGTCTTATGAAAACATATAAAACTAATATGGGAGATTCAAAGGAGACCTCAAACAGTATAATTCCTTAGAAAGGCAAAGTCAAAGTTCAACAAAATGAACACCAGTAATTGGGTACTTGAAAAGGGGTAGACTGAGGTCAAGGAGAAATGGAGTAGATGAATAAAGAGGTGGAGAATGCAGTCAAGAATTGCAACAATGAGATGTACAAGTCATTACATCGAAAAACGAACTTAACAACTTTGGTGGGGGGTGGGGAGAGGGTCGGGTGGGGGGGAGGGGAGAGTATGGGAAGGGATGGGAAGGGGAAACAACGAGGAGGCAACAATGCTTGATAAGAAATGTACTCATTATCTTGCCCATGTAATTGTAACTCCTTTGTATGGTATTCTCACAATAAAAAAAAAAAAAAGAAATGGTAAATAAATGAAAAAAAAAAGAATTCAATGTATAGCCTACAATAGTGAGGAATTCAATGTATACCCTACAAAATTAAGAAGAGTGAGGAAGGGGTGAGTAGGGAAGGGATGGGTGGGAATGTTGAAAGGGATGACATTGATCAAGATATACTACTGTATTCTTAAACTGCTTCATTAAGTGGCAACTCCTCTGTACAACTACTTAAAGATGACAGTAATAGTAATAAAATGGTTTTCTTTTGGCTGTTTGTCTAGGAGTAAAGCCAATTCACACTCACGAGCAAATATATTCATGAAAAGCATGCTAGTCCTGCTGGGCAGGGCCTTTCATGATCTGCGTGGTGCTCAGGCTGTGGGCTACTTCACCAGTGAGGTGCTTGCTGACTGATTGATTAAGCGGAGTGTTTTCTGATTCCATCAGAACACTGTTCCCTGTGACCTACTCCCTCTCTTCCCTTAGCTTTACCTGGTTAACTAACCAGCAGATTTTTTTTCTACAGACCTGCTTTCGTTTGCTGCATTACCTTTCTCCCTGATTAAAATTCAACAGTGATGACCTAGATGAACTAACAAATGATTGAACTTTGTAATGCCAACTATAATTTTTTAAAAATCACTGGGAGTGACTATTTCCTAGTTCTTAAAACTTTTTTTATTTTATTTTATTTTATTTTTTTGGTTGGTCATAGGGCTTGAACTCAGGGCCTGGGTGCTGTCCCTCAGCTCTTCAGCTCAAGGCATGCGTTCTACCACTTGAGCTACAATGCCACTTCTGGCTTTTTCTGCTTATGTGGTGCTGTGGAATCGAACCCAGGGCCTCATGCATGCAAAGCAAGCATTCTACCACTGAGCCACCTTCCCAGCCCCCGTCTTAAAACTTTATGTAGATAATCTAATCACATTTATGGTGGGAAGTCTCGTGAGATCAGTATCTCTGAGCTGACTTTTTTCTGAGGAGAGAAACAGAGACTGAGAAAGAATTTGCTTCAGTTTCTGCAGCTGGTTAAGCAAAAGGCTTGGAATTTGGACTTCACACTTGGCCGTAAAACAGAAGAGCCTTTTGCTCTTTCTTGTAGTTCGAAATAGCTGATAGGCATCCTGAGACGGTACAGATCACTCTGAGAAGGAGCCCAAGGAAAGTTTGCATAGGTCTAGCACCCTGGGTAAGAGTGAAGGGTAAGGCAGAAGTGAACCAAGCAGGTGGAGGAAACTTCTGGCATGCAGAAGAACGTGATATTCCACAGGGGCTGACTGGCCAGGAGAAATGAGTAGAAGCAATGCAAGTATGCATCGATGGTCCTGAATGCCACACCTGTGGCTGAGGTGCACCCCAGCAACACTTCACTTGGATGTGTGTGTAGTGGGGCTTGAACCAAGGGCCTAAGTTCAACCCACAATCTTCTACTAGCTTTGTCACTCAAAGCTGTAGCTCTACCACTTGAGCCACACCTCCACTTTTTTGTTGTTGTTGATTAACTGGCAATAAGAATGTCACAGACTTTTCTGCCTGAGCTGTCCTCAAACTGTGATCTTCAGATTTCAGCCTCCTAAGTAGCCTAGATTCCAGGTGTGAGCCATCAGCACAGAATTTCAACTCATTTTAATAGAAGATTGTTGGATGAAAAAAGGGTGAAATCTGAGTGGGCTTTATTAGACTGCTAACATATACTATTTTTTTTGGTTGGTTGTGGGGCTTGAACGCTGGGCCTGGTTGCTGTCCCTCAGCTCCTTAGCTCAAGACAAGCACTCTACTGCTTGAGCCAAAGGACCTCTACCGGTTTTCTGGTGGTTTATTGGAGATAAGAGTCGCACAGATTTTCCTGCCTGGGCTGACTTTGAACCTCGATCCTCAGATCTCATCCTCCTGAGTAGCTAGGATTACAGGCGTGAGCCACTGGCGCCCAGCTAGCATATACTATTTTGATTGATACATTTGAAAAACTTAAAGCAAATTTCAGTATTTATCATTGATAATAAAATCCTAGCAATAAATCATACAACAGATGTCTTGGGGGAACAGTGGAGTTTTCTGTAGGAGATGGAGAGAGTTCCTGGAAGGAAAGAGAAAAGTCTAACTGGGACAGGCAGAACTTCTTAAAGATAAGCTTCATTTCTCAGGATTAAGATACTAATTATATCAGACGACTTGGGTAGTAAAACTCTTGGAATAAAGAGCATCAATAGTAATTTCATTATAGACCAAAGTGGGAGAGGTAGGATGGGGGTGAAAATGGTAAGAGAACCTGCCTAGGGAAAACCAAAATCGTACAAATAGAGGTAGATTTGAGAAAGTGGGAAGGGGCAGCAGCTGGTCTGGAAGAGGACGGGTGAGACCTCATACAGCCTCATCAGCACTAACTCTTTACTCCCTGGAAATGCATCTCCATACCTCTAGTACCTCACATTCGCCCAACACACCCTTGCAGCAGCAAGATCATCACCAAGGCTCTTACCTGGGGAGTTGGAGAGCTGGGTGGTGCGACAGCGCAGGGCTAACTGCTGCTCGCAGCTCTCGGCCATGTGCACAGCTGCCCGCAGCTGCCCTGCACCTGCTGCATAGGTGAAGGTCGCTGAGCGGGTGCGGCCTTGGGGCCAGCCTCTGACCATCACCACATCAGTGTCGCTGGGTCGTACCACCATCCACGCAGCATCAGCTGAACAGACATGAAGAAAAGGGGGCCATCAGAGGCTGCAGGGGAGAGCTGGATGAACAGCTCATTAACTTCCCAACACTAGAAGTCTCATGGCCGCTGGAAAGGTCTTAGACATGGATAGTCAGAACAGGGTTGTCATTTTCCATGAGCTATAGGGTTGTAGGTAAGCAAGTTGTATGTCGTAAGTTGTTCCTCTAACATCTCAAGTCCAAGGCATGATTCCTGTCACCATAGTTCTCAGTCTTCAGGTTTTTTAACTCCCGCCTAACCCAATATGACTTGACTTTTGCCAAGATCATGCGATAAAAAGTACCCATTTGAAGGGGTGCAGGAAAGCAAGCAAGCAAGCAAGCATGCAAGCAAGCAAGCAAGCAAGAAAGAAAGAAAGAAAGAAAGAAAGAAAGAAAGAAAGAAAGAAAGAAAGAAAGAAAGAAAGAAAGAAAGAAAGAAAGAAAGAAAGAAAGAAAGAAAGAAAGAAAGAAAGAAAGAAGGAAGGAAGGAAGGAAGGAAGGAAGGAAGGAAGGAAGGAAGGAAGGAAGGAAGGAAGGAAGGAAAAGGGAAAAGAAAGAAAGAGAAAGGAAAGCAAGCAAGCAAGCAAGAAAGAAAGAAAGGAAAAGAAGGAAGGAAGAAGAAAGAAGACAAAGAAAGAAAGAAGGAAAAAGAGAAAGAAAAGAAAGAAAGGAAGGAAGAAAGAAAGAAAGAAAGAAAATAGGGAAGGAGGGAAGGAGAAAAGGAAAGAAGGAAGGAGGAAGGAAGGAAGGAAGGAAGGAAGGAGGGAGGAAGGAAGGAGAGAAAGCAAAAGAAGATAGGGAGGGAAGGGAACAGAGAAAGAGAGACAAGGAAGGAAAGAAATAGAGAAAGAAAAGGAAAGAAAGATGAAGGAAGCAAGGAAGGAAGGGAAGAGAAAGAAAAAAGAAAGAAGGAGGAGGAAGGAAGGAAGGAAGGAAGGGAGGGAGAGAGGGAAGGAGGGAGGGAGGGAGGGATTTGAGGAAGAAGCTGAGTGATACTTATGGCTCCTGGGAAAAGCTACATAACTGAGGCTAACCATGATGGCACATTCTCACTTTCATCTGATCATCTGGTTCAGGGAGGCAACTAGTGGAATTTGTGGCAGGCCTTCTCTTCAGCACACTGCTGTCCAGGTGCTGCTCTAGTATTGCTTGGTAATCTTTCCCAAAACACTTAAAATTTACATGTACTTGAATTTGTGTGGTTCTTTTTAAATTCTTGGTGCTTATTGACTTATTTGGTTACTATCTAAATTTATGAAACTTCAGAACCTTTTCTCAGCACATTATATAAGAACTTAAAAAATGTTTCCTCTTTCTGGAGAATTGGAAGAGGGAAATAGCATGAAATTTCTCTTTAAAAAGTTTAATTATCTAAGGGGAATTTTAATGCAATCTTCCATAATCAAGCTGTGTTTATTTGTAATAATATTGAAATCAGGAATGATTTATAATATCAAAAATCAAATTTCTTTGATTATGAGAAAACAGCATATCATGCAAATCACTACATTATCTAAGATGTACATAAACTACCAGCACATAAGGTATATATATATACACATATGTATAAAATTGTTTGCACACATATATTCAATATATTCTTTTATATATGATATTTTAGCATAGTTAAAGACCTCCATTTGGTTCTAAGTTGAAAGTCTCCATTTTATCATGATGCATGTGAACAGAATCATGGGATGTATAGCACCATAGGGTGATCTTGCACAGCATTAAACCTTGCCTGCAATCCAACCAAGGTAAACAAGTAATGCATGAAAATGGAATTAACAACTAAGTTAATAAATACCATATGTAGCAGTTACACATAGCATTATACAGTGATCAAACTACACATTTTAATCATATTTTCAACTAAGCAAATTTCACAGTGTCTTTGGATGCTATGTGTAAACAGCTGTTATGTAAATCTAAAGATTAATAACATACCTGTCATATTGCAGTACACAAGAAATGGTCCCAAAGGGCCACTTCCATCTGCATCGATGGAATAGAGCCCAGAAGGGCTCCCCTTGTGCTTGTGGGCCTCACACGACTGCTCATGGGTGGCTGCAGAGGAACATCAGGCATTAGACACAGAACAACATCCTTACTCACCATCTTAAATGAATGTCCAAATGTTTCCCATTTGTAAATCACAGAAAGGTTGCATGTTACCCAATGATACTTCTATTCATTTCTATAATACCATGTTTGGTTGGGAATTTCTTTAGTGATGACATCTAAAAGCTTAACATTTTTATTAACAAATGAAAACGAAACGATCTAGTCAAGATGAATTTAAATTCTGAATGTTATTAGATTAGGTATATTTTGGAGAAGAGGAAATTGTGTATTGGTGATTAAGAATGAAGGTTATGTTGGGCATGATGGTACATGGCTGTCATCTCAGGACTAGAGAGAAGAGAGTAAGTAAATCATAAGTTCTTGGCTAGCTTGATAGAGATCACAAATAAAAAAAACCCTAACTACTATTATACTTAAGTTAATTCATTTGTAACTGTTTGAATTCCACACAGTGTGTTTACTAATAAATTTATGGGCACTAGATTCTAGCTATTATAAATGAGGGAAAACATGCAATCTTTGTTTCTCTGGTTCTGGCTTACTTCACTTAATATAATTTTTCCAAGACTTTCTATTTTCTTACAAATGGTACAATATCATTCTTTCTGATGGATGAGTAGAATTCCATTGTGTGTATATACCATATTTTCTTGATCCATTTTTCCATTGAGGCTGATTCTGTATCTTGGCTATGGTAACTAGTGCTGCAATGAATGTGGTTGTGCTGCTGGCTTTACTGCAGCCTTGTTTGTGGTCTATTGGACAAATGCCCAGGAGTGGAATTTCTGGGTAATAGGGTAGCTCTATGTTTAGTTTTATGAGGAACCTCCATACTGTTTTCCAGAATTGTTGAACAAGCTTACATACCTACCAACAATATAATAGAGTTCTATTTTGCCCATGAAGTCAAGCCCAATAAAATAAGTACCAGGAAATAGGTACTTGGGTCAAGGATAGAGGAAGACAAATGAAGGCAGAAAGGAAGTAGACTTCAGTCAAGAATTCACTGTATATACCACATAATTAAGAAAAATAAGGGAAAGGGTAGGTTGAAGGAGGGTGAAAATGTTGTAGGGGTGTATGCAATGTGTACTCATTGTATACATAAACTGCTTTGTTAAATGGCAAAAAAAAATACGTTTCCTAAAACATTAAGAAAAGTGAGGGAAAGAGTGAGTTGGGAGGCGTAATGAGAATGTTGCAAAGAATGGCACTGGTCAAGATTCATCAACTGCTTAAGAAAAAATATATATGAATCAACAAGGAACGAGAAGGAAGGGGAAGAAGTTGAAGGTGTCATGGTGGGAATGTGTTGATAAGTAGGGGCTGCATTTTCTTCCTGCGCATGTTCTCTTTTGCCTTTGTGTGAGGAAAGGTGTAGATTCTGAAGTGCAGTGAAAAAGATTAGAAGAGGTATTTACTCCAGAAAAACTGTGAATCTCAATTGTACAGGTTGTTGCTATGTAATTCTATTCAAATTCAGGGCAACTTCAGAACCAAGAGCTACAATTAAAGAAGAAACCTTTATTCTCTCAATAATAACTGAGCATCCAGTGAAGTTTCATCTTTTTAAACCTACCTACGTCATCTTGTAATACACAACATGCACGCTGGAATTTTTTTTTTAATAATGCAGTAATCACATCGTTTTCTTACTTAAAAACAATCTACAAATGAACATTCTAAAGACATAATTTAGAAGCCAGTAACTTCTCTTCATTAAAATATAGTGAAAACTGATTTCTAAAAGTGACTTCCTCAGGTATTTTGCAAATGACAAATCAGGATAATTCAAATTCAAAACAAGAAGAGGAAAGATTTTGAGGAGCAATGTCCCTATATAATGTTAATTTATTCTGACATAATTGAATATTTTCATTTGTGCAAGTAAATGTTTTGCCAGGATATGGAATTATCACCTGCAGATAATGAACATGGTTAATCTTCAGCATAAATTTAAAAGAAAGATCAGCTTACAGGGAAGAACCCATTTGGAAAAGCTGAAAGATGCTAATGACTCCTAGGAGAAGCTACATGCCAGATGGTAAGTGTGGTGGATCTGCTCGTTATGTAAGAAGCAACTTAGAAAATGCTTTTGCTGGGTCCCGTGAATTAATTCAAAGTCTCCCAACTTTCTATCTGTGCCCTTTGATTTGACCTATTCTGTGCAACAGTCAGCCTGGTAAACACCAGGCCCTCCAAAAACGACTAGATTCACAAACAAGCAATCTTATGTGGAAGGCAAGTCTTCAAACAAGCAGTGTCTTCTTATCATCTTAAAGAAAACAGGGTCAAACTCAAAACCACCTGGCTTCTGGTCATGTTCCAGTAACAAAGTGATAACTTCTCCAGTATTCCTCCCGGGAAAAGAAAAGACTTTGCTAATGGTCAATCAATCCATACCTTTAACTTAGTACCCTTTCCTCACTCCCTATTTAACCTGAAGCTGGTGTTTGAACCCCTGAAGATGTTCTGAAGTGCTATCTCCCATAAATCTCCTTTCTCTGCCCTTCATCATATTTCCTTATTTGGCATATGCGGGGCAGGGAGTGGTCAGGCTTAATATTGGACTCTCAGATTTTTGGAACTGGGGTCTAATTTCAATGGAGTCCTAAAGTTCAAAGGTGCCTTTCAACAGCCAGTGTTGGCATCTGCACAGGCAAGGCTGGGCAAATAGAAGGAAGAAATGAAATCTAAGAAAAAATGGATCATTATAATGGGAAGAAAAAGGAAATAGATATATGCCTTTGTAATAAGGACATTTTATATTGAATCGCCCTTGTATATATCCATAAATATTAATTGAAAAATGTTTCCAAATACTTAAAAGCACATCAAGGGGAAAAAAATCAAAGAGGAACACCATGGTTCAGTGTATTTTAAAATAAGACCACTGGGTCTCAGAGATATCTGTAGCTGAGCAATCGAATGAGGCTGCACATGTGTACTCACGCTGCCATGTGTGTTGACCTTTGAACCCTTTTTAAGCTCTGCTGACCTGTTCAATCAACCCTTCTCCAAACCACCCAGAGACTGAACTGCACCAAATCCCTTAACTCTGTGTGTGTGTGTGTGTGTGTGTGTGTGTGTGTGTGTGTGTGTGTGTGTGTGTGTGTGTGTGTGTGTGTGTGTGTGTGGTGTGTGTGCCCATCCTGGAGCTTGAGCTCTGAGTCTGGGTAGTGCCCTGAGCATTTTTTGGTCAAGGCTAGGACTCTATCACGTAAACCACAGCTCCACTTCCAGCTTTTCTTGGTGATTCATTGGAAATAAGAGTCTCATGGACTTTTCTGTCTAGGCTGGCTTCAGATCTCAGCCTTCTGAGTAACTAGGATTACTTTAACCAGCATCGATAACAATTCCTACTAACAAGTGGTGGAATTTCTAATCCCCTTTGGTTTGAATCTACACAGGCTGCTGTCAAAACTTCAGAATACATTTTCAAGATAGCTAGAATCTGTGTCTTCCCAGACTGTAATCCTAATTAGCCCCAAATAAATGTAAATTCCTTTGTTGTTGATAAGGTTGGCTTTATTCTTGACTGATAGGAAAGCCCAAAGGAGGAACATGAATGGTGTTAAGTAGAATGGAAAAAGGAAATTGGTAGGCAAGGTAAAATAAGCACAGTTGAATAATATCTAGTACAGAATAAAAAACAAAATGAAAACAAAGATGTGTGGTGTAACCTTGTATTTCTCTGCTGTACTTTTAGATCTAAGAAGCCATTCTACAGGAGAAAGGTAGAAAAACATTCATTTGCCAGTTTTTCAAGTTCAAATGTAATAAAATTAAAGATGGAAATAAAAAAAAAACACTGGATGGGTATATCACCTGATAAAATTCTAGAAGAGGTACTTAAGATCTCTTATAACTGTGGTTTTCTTTGTTGGAGATAATAAATAATTGTAAGGAAATGATGACAGAAGCATGCATTTTTCTGAGTACTTAAAAACATGGGACCCCTTCAACACTTTTGTATTAAATGAGGCTGGGCTTAAGGGTGCAGAGATGAGTGGAAAAGCACTGTCTAGCATGTGCAAGGTCCAGGGTTCAATTCTCAACGCTGTAAAATAGGCTCCTTAGACAGACAGACAGATAAGTTAGATTAGATAGATAGATAGATAGATAGATAGATAGATAGATAGATAGATAGATAGATATGGTGGATGGGTGGGTAGATGGATGGATGGATGGATGGATGGATGGATGGATGGATGGATGGATGGATGGATGGATGGATGGATAGACGGATGGATGGATGGATGGATGGATAGATGGATGGATGGATGGATGGATGGATGGATGGATGGATGGATGGATGGATGGATGGATGGATGGATGGGTGGATGGATGGGTGGATGGATGAATGGGTTATAAACCAGAAATACCTGGATGCTAAAACATCCTGATGTGTCTGCCTGATTGCAAATATACAGATACAAATAAAATCACTAAACTGAGGACAATGGGGATGGTGCTTACAGGAATGGCAGGTGGCTCCGGTGTAACCTGTGTCCTCACAGTCACAGGAGAAGGTGTCCCACGATTGGGAGCATTCACCCCCATGCTCACAGTAGCTGGGCAAACACCTACCAGAGAACAAACACAACTGTCATCCTTGGCCGGTCATCAGAAAACCAGTGACTTCCCTGGGAAAATTAGGTTAATTTAAAATTTAAAAAAAATTCCCCGTGATGGCTGATGAGTCTGCCAGGGTGGTTTCCTGATTATGATACATTTCGCGTAAGTACATATATCGGCGTGTGACTACTATGGATGTGTGATAGTAGAGTTTTCAATACATCTTAATTCTTGTTCTTTTTTATCCAGAATGACAAAATAGCTTGATATGTGGTTTAGCAAAATTGATTTGATGCATAAAATTATAAAAGTTGCTAGTCTCGGTAAGTATTTGTGGACATTTTTTTAAAGAAAGAAGGGGAGGCAGGGAAGAAAATAAAAACATTACATGGTAACAAAGCCCCAACCACTTTGAAGAACATTTAATTTAGGTCAGCTTGTTGCTGTCTTTTAGATGTGAAATGAGAGATTAGTTAATGGAAAACTTGGTCTTTATTAAGTTGTAAGTTCTACCCAAACCTCTCTAGAGAATTGGTGCAATCTCTATCAAAATCTCAACGGCATTTTTGGTTGTTGTGCTTCAAAAATAAGGAGAAAAATCCCATCCTTGGGACACCAGACAGCCAAAATGGTCACAGAAGAAGAGGAGGAGGAGGAGGAGGAGGGGGGAGAGGGAGCAACAACAACAAAGTTGGAAGAGTCACAGTTTAGAATTTTCTCTGGCTTCCTCCCACCCCCAATTATTAAACTATGGTGGTCTTCCAGCCAATCCTGCCTCCAGGATTGTAAGGAAAAGTCAGAGAAGGAAGCCCTGTGTTTAAACTAGCAAGCTTATGACCACAGAGCAGCATCAGAAAGAAGTAGAGACTTCCAGAGACCTGGTTAAATACCATCACGCTATTTATCTCACAGCCATGAGGTTGTGATCTCTGCCTCTGCCCCGCTTCTTCCCCTAGGTGATAATATCACTAAAGAATGTATTTGATGTTGGTGTAATTTGTGGAGAGGAAGGAAAAAAAACAAATGGTTTAAATAAGGATACAGGTGGACCCATTGCAACAATGAGACGTACAAGACGTTACGTCAAAAAACATAATGTCTGGGGGAGGGGGGTTAGGAAGGGATGGAAGGGGAAACAAAGGAGGAGGCAACAATGCTTGATAAGAAATGTACTCATTACCTTGCCCATGTAATTGTAACCCTTCTGTACGGTATTTTCACAATAAAAATTTTTTAAAAAAAAGAAGAAGAAGGAGGAGGAGGGAAGGGAAGGGAAAGAAAGGGAAAGGAAGGGAATGGAAGGGAATGGAAGTGGCCTAAAAGCCACTTACTTTCCAGGATGTAGGTGCAGGACATGGAGGAAAGGCTGAAAGGGGAAATGGCCAGAAGGGCAGAGAGGAGCTGGGAGGATGTTAAATGAGGCCACTTGGTTTTAATTGGAGGTCTGAGACCAGATCTGGGATATGAAGGCTGATAGGAGGTTTATATTTGTCCCTCTGGCAATCCTTTTTTTCTTGTTTTTTTTTTTTAATTGTCAAGATGATGTGCAGAGGGGTTACAGTTACAGAAGTAAAGTAATAAGTATATTTCTTGTCAAACTTGTTACCACTTCCCTCATTTTTCTCCTACTTTACCTCCCCCGGCCCCCAGCAATCCTTGGAGAGAAGAATCTAAGGGGTTGGGGAAAAAAAAATCACAACATCCTTTGGCCTACTCATAACCCCAACATCCAAGCATTCTAGCACCCCAACATGCACCACATACTTAAGGTCAAACTTGGACTAATTATACAAAGTTAATGAATGGGAGCTTAATCTTATTTAGAGACGAGTAGATATAGGCAATCACAGCCACAGCTTGTTCAAATGAGGGTTAAGATATGGTAAAGTATGTGTGAAAGGAGACCTTTAGAAATGAATAAAAACAAGTGGGAAACTGGTGTGTGTGGGGGGGGGGTGGAATTTTCATGGTTTTCTTGGCTATCTCCTTCTTCATAACACAGTGGGCAATTTTGAGATCATACCTGACTTAAAGATTCCACAAATTTTGAATTGATAACAAAAAAAAAAACAACCTTGAAGTTTGATATCAACAGGGAGAATGTCATTTTGCTTAAAAAATATTTGAAATAAGAACTATTTAAAAACAAGCAAGGTATATCAACAGGTATATAATAGTGGATTTTTCCCCAACTAAATGTAACATTATTTGTGAAAAAATTGATATGGAATTCAAACTAAAGGCATGCAGCATAAAGAAGAGCCACGCAGAGGGAAAGCAAGCGTGAGATCCAGTTGTGAGAAAATGGCGACCTTTCTGTCCTAGGTGGCAGAAGAGTCCCGATAGTAATAAAGCATAGAGCCCCATTTTCAACTGTAACTCATGGAATCTAGGCCAAACATAGATAAAACAAGGATTTTTTTTGTCACAGTAAGATTCTAAGAGTCTGATGTCAGACATGATTTGGAAGTTAAAAACCTATCCAAACATAAACCAGCAACTATTTTGTTCATGTTGAAGTTTCAATTAAAAAGAATACTTTTGCCAGGCACCAGTGGCTCACGCCTATAATCCTATCTATTCAGGATAATTGTTTCCTCTCTAGAAGAGGTGGCATTTTGGTGGCTGATGCTATAACAAAAAGACTGGCAACTTGTTCCATTCTTCTATACTCAGAATATTACTTCACTGCCAGCCATGGCTACAAAAGCTTAGCTGGATAACTCACCAAGTTAAGTGAAAATGTATAAGGTATTTTATACTATCATTTAAAAAAATAAACCATGGTGAATATGTCTGCCTGTTTTCTAATCCTCACAAAGATAATAGAAAATGAGAGGGGGAATTTTTTTTTTCCCCACTTGGAAACCAAGCATGCTTACATGACCCAGGATGGCTCTTACCTGTCGGTGATGCCACATGAGTCTATCTGGAGGTCGTTAAAACTCCCCAGCGCCCCCTGCTGTACCAAGATGGGATCCACCGCTTTGTCACCAATGGAGATGAACCTCAGGCAGCCCTGAAATCCTCCCAGGAGATTTTCACATCCATAGCCAGAGCTGTTGTGGGGACAGCCTGAAGAGAGAAACACAGGGACAAGGGAAAATCAACACCCCTCATGAACCTATTTCACAGCTCTTGCTATGAGACCTTTCTTCCCTTTGTGTACGGATTCTTGAGGAATGAATGCATGAGGCAATGGGTTGATCTCTCTCTAGTAAAAGCAGTAAGGATACAAGTGAGAGCTGATGAAATGCAAGCTACTGCCTGGAACCCAGGATTTTTTTAAAAAGTAAGATGAAATTAAGATTTTAAATTCCTATAATATGAATGATTGCATAGCTGGTGAAGTTTGTTTCCTTTTTAAAATCTCACCTAAGACATAACTGCCCTGTAGCTTCATGCTTATAATGTAGACACAAAACTAAAATATAATGTCCCTCTTATCCCATATTTCATTTAGGAGAAGCTTGGAAAATATTACTTTTAAAATGTAGTTGGAGATTTTCAGGTATCGAAAACTATGGTAAATAGATATTTTGTAGGAGTGTGTATTTGAGCATACTTTAAAACCTTCTTATATTGACTGAATAGAAATATCTTAGATTTGGGAGTTTGCTGGTACCAAACCTTGAACTCAGGGCTTTGTGCTCACAGCTTTTTCACTCAATGTTCGGACTCTCCTGCTTGAACAGCACCTCTATTTCAGGCTTTTTGCTGGTTAATTGGAGATAAGAGTCTTTTGGATTTGTCTGACCAGGCTAGCTTTGAACTGAGATTCTCAGATCTCAGCGTCCTGATTAGCTAATATTACTAGCTAATATATTAGCTAGTATGAGTCACCAGCATCAGGCAGATTTTTTTTTTAATAGTAATTTTTGTATTTCGTACTTCAGTCAAACATATAACCAAATACTATAGGATAGTGTTGACAACATAAAAAGTCGCCAGTTACCAAGGGACATGCTGATAAATGAAAAAACAGCAGAATAGACTATTCTAGAAATAAAAAAACCCAGATATATAATTATTTCGAATATTAGAAATTAAGTAGAGGCACTGGTGGCTTACACCTGTAATCCTAGCTACTCAGGAAGCTAAAATCTGAGGATTGTGGTTTGAAGCCAGCCCGAGCAGGAAAGTCTGAGAGACCCTAATCTCCAATTAATTCCCAGAAAACTGGGAGTGGCACCAACAGAAAAGAAAGGAAGGAAGGATGGAAGGAAGAAATTAAGTACAGCTGAAGGCCTTATCCCACCTACATTACAAATAGCAAGGTTTATGATATTCTTGTGTGGTCTTTTTTAGAATAGAAATAATGTTTAAGAAGTATAGGCAAAGCTGAACTCACAACTTGTGCTCCTGGCTTCTAAAAAGGTAGAGATTAGGAGGATAGCAGGTGGAGGCCAGTCTTTATAAAAAGTTCTTAAGACAGGCTGGGAAGGTGGCTCAGTGGTAGAGCGCTTGCCTTGCATGCATGAGGCCCTGGGTTCAATTCCTCAGCACCACATAAGCAGAAAAAAAAAGCCAGAAGTGGTGCTATGGCTCAAGTGGTAGAGTGCTAGCCTTGAGCTGAAGAGCTGAGGGACAGCGCCTAGGCCCAGAGTTCAGGCCCACAAAAGTTCTTAAGACTCCCATCTCAACTTGATGTGCTAACACACATGTGTCAAACCCAACTATTAGGAAAGCATAAATAGGAGGATCATGGTCCAGGCTGGCTTGGGAAAATTCAAGATCCTATCTCAAATTTAACCAGAGCAAAAGGGACTGAAATCATGGTTCAAGTGGTAGAGTAGTGCCTACCTAGCAAGTGTGAGAACCTGAGTTCAAACACCTGTACTACTTTCAAAAATAACATTACAGGTAAGGTCATCACTGCATGACTTTGATCTAGATTAAGCGATCTTATCTCCATATTTAATCCACATACACAAAAAAATAATGACTTGAAGTTTCTTCCACTGCCTATGGAGTTACATCAGATAGCCCAATAACAGAACTTTGATTCATGCATCCCTCAAACAAACCCACTACAGTTAAGGAAAGAGAATGCAATCATTGTAAAATGGCCTTCTGTTTAAAGACAAGTGCAAAGTAAAATCACAAAGCATTTATCTTCATCAAATGCTGCAAATGTCTTCTTTAAAAAGCCAGCTAGTACATGCCTAAGGCTTGGTGGATCATCATAAGGTCTCTGACAGATATTCTTAGAAAATTTTTAAGAAACTTTCAAAATGTATAGCAATTCTTTAATTGAGACTATATAATAGTAAGTTAGAGGCCACAGTATGTCTACTTCTAATCTAAATAAGTATTTAGTGTTAATGTGCAAGGAGCTACTTCCTTTCAGAATATCTTCATGCTAAAGAACACAAAAAATTGAATGAGCTTTCACAATTGAGAAATTTTATTATTTGCTTTAAAAATAATGAATGAATGAGTAAATAAATAAATAAATAAATAAAAAATGGACTAAGTGTGCTTATAAGCCCAATTCCTTGTGAGGTAGAGATAGAAAGATCAACGTTTAAAGCCAGCCTGGACAAAATAGAAAAAAAAAGGAAATAACTTTTCTGAAAATATTTATGTTTTATTGGAAAGAACCAACTCTTTTTGTTTCTAAAGTACAGAAAGAACCAACTTTTTATGTTCCTTCAAAACAGAAAGACATTGATGTAATAGAATATTTTTTGGTGTGGATATTGGGGCTTGAACTCAAGGCCTGGGCACTGTCCATTGTTATTATAATTGTTTCTGTTGTTGTTATTATTTTGCTCAAGGTTGGTGCTCTACCATTTGAGCCCCAGTTCCACTTCTGGCATTTTGCTGGTTCATTGGAGAAAAGACATCTTCAGGTCTGTCCTGCCTACATACTGGCTTGGAACCAGAATCCTCAATTCTTAGCTTCCTAAATTGCTAGGATTACAGGCATGAACTATGAGGTGCTAGCTAAGAAATCAGTTCTTTGTATTGATTCGATGTAAATATGAGGAGAGACCCAGAACACAAGGCAGGGAGGATAAACAAAACTTCCACTGTCGGCCAGTACAAATCCAGTTGCCCTCACTCACCTCCAAAATAGTAGGCATCCCCTGAATGGATGGGCATGGGGGCCAGGGGTTGAACAGCTGAGTGATCATCAACCACCATGCTCAGGTGGCTCCATTTAGCAAACAAAGACACAGAATGCCACTGGCCATCGCTGATCTCCACACCTGGAGGAGACAGAACTAATTACAGACAACTCTGAATCCTGAGCTTCACAAACGATTGACAACAATTTTTCAGATCACTAAGTTAATCAGAGAAAAACAGTATTTATGTGTAGATACCTCACTGAGGGTGATAAAAAGCGCAGCCACCTTTCCTTCCTAAGAAGATTTCCTGTATTATGATAGCAATACATACATCAAAAAGAATGACTTCTTCAATAGAGTCACTCGCATAAATAATATGCTTCAAGGAGCAATCTCCCACGCAAGGAGCAAAAAGCCTTTACCAATGGGACTGGAAAGGCAGTTTAATTCAGAGACAAATTTTACTTGCTTCACAGAAATTTAACAAAGAGCAGTGCTGTCAGAGAACTGGTTGGGGGAGCGGATAGAGCTGAGTGGGAAGTGATCGTGGACGTCTCTGAATGGAGAAGAAAGAGCTCTAGGCTTTCAGTCCACATGGCACACCCCATTCAGGCTTCCTCTGCCTTCACCGTGTGGTTCCTTTACAATGCTGTCAACTGGAGAGAATTCAGAATCATGCAAGATGCTTTTGTCTGACAAATGCTAATTCTTCTGTCTAGGAGACACAGTGGGGTATTCGATTGGTTTTTGAATTGTTTGGTATCTACTAATAAATGAATTTTGCTCTTCTTTATCCACATCTGTAGTACCTTGAATTCTCCCTTGAACTGACCCTAAAAGCTTATTGTTTTATTCATTAATTAATAAGGTATATAAAATCAACTTGTGCTCATGTGTTCTATGAACAAATACATTAGGATTATAGATCATTTTCCCCCTAATCCTGAGGCTTGAACTCAGGGCTTGGGTTCTATCTCTGAGCTTTTTTGTGCTGAAGGCTGGCACTCTACCACTTGAATAACCCACTGCACCACTTCCAGCTTTGTCTGAGAAGTTTACTGGAGATAAGAGTCTCATGGACTTTCCTGCCCAGGCTGGCTTCAAACTATGATCCCCAGATTTTAGCCTCTTGAGTAGCTAGAATTACAGGCTTGAGCCACTAGCTCCAACTTTTAAACATCACTTCTTAACATTTGATTTTAAATACTTACAAAATAGCTGGAAGTATACTTTACCTACAGAAGTACACTATTTTTATGTTTACATTCATATCTGTATTATTCTATTCTCAATATTTATTTTTTAAATAATATAACAGTAAATTATCTTTGATGATAAATTTAAAGATGGAAACACTGAAAGAATCACTGGAAGTATTTTATACTTTCATCTTGCAATATGTCAAAGATGCATACTGATAAATGGGTAAAAATGAAATAATTAGCCTATTAAAAATGAAATTAGTCTATTAAGTAAAATTAGCCTATTAAGTGAAATTAAACATTGTTCCAATTCTTAAAATTAGACCAAGATCAAAACTAATTTCAGAAGTTTAATACCTAGTGATAAACTCTAGATTATAGAAATATTTCTTTTAAATTTAACTTTTTAGATGATGGTCTTAGTAAGTCTGCTAATTATTAAGATTATTCTGCACTTAATTCATTTCTCCTCCCTACGTGCATTTTTGTAAAGTTAATGTCATTAGCATTTCAGATGCAAGTGGTAGTTCTTGCGATTAAAAAAATTAACATTAATAGTTCAGTGTTCCCTCTTAACCTTCGGTGATGTGTGAATCTGGAAGGAAAGTAATTAAGAGTAAGTAATATGTAAGGGCAAAACCGTGTTTTTAAATCAGTCAGAATTACTGAAGCTTTCAGTGTAAAACTAGGCATTGTCTAAATACAATTTCGAGGTATTGTCTGATTCTATGGATCTTAGTGCCTTTCCTGTTCTTTTAGTGTTTATTATTCATTTTATTTTGCCATTCTGTAGGCTGTAGAAAAGCCAAAGTAAGCAAAGAGCTCATATCCCTAGACATGCAAATATGTTTTGTTTGGTGGGGACACATTAATCTTACTACCCAGGCTAAGGAAGAAGCTAGTGTTGCATTACATGTGAGTTCATTGTCACTTCCTTTGTACATATCAGTGATTGCCTGGATTATCCCTTGAAGTTAGCTCTTCAATTAAATTAATGTTAAAAAATTAATATGTTGTTTGTGTCATCGTTTTGTAAAGTCTTAATGCTGTACTCTTAAAATATCTTTTAAAGAGCGAAGTAGCCCTCCGTACAGATTATTTTTAATGTTCATTAGTGATTATCAAAATAACTTTTCCCCTATTAGGTTATAACTTGCCTTTGACTATTGTTTATACTCAGAAAAAAATCGCATACAGTAGAATCCATAGGCATGTTAATCTGATCAACTATCAACTTAATTAAGCAACTGTCCGCAACTTGTACTATTTTAAACATGTTTGCATATGATCTCTTGTCCAAAATAACAGCATTTTAAAAATTCAGAGGCAAAATATCACTCTTGCAAGGCTGTGGTCTAAAGCAAAATGTCAATTTGACTTAACAATTTTTATTATATGTAATTGTTGTTATGCAAACCAGACCTGGAGAGGATATTTTTCTGGTCTTCAAGGCACCCATACTGCATAACTACTGCAGGAAAACATTTAACAGTCCTTGAAATGGACAGCAGAGATTACTAGGTATCTTTTCAATGGAAGAATTCATCTGATTTTGACATGGTTATAAACCTTTATGTCTGACTAGGTGAGTTTGTAACTATGCACCAACAGGAATTAACTTTTTGAAAACAGATGGTGATATGAACTCCATCAAACTTGTCCATACAGGAGGCTGAGATCTGAGGATTGAGGTTCAAAGCCAGCCCGGGCAGGAAAGTCTGTGAATCTCTTATCTCCAGTAAACCACCAGAAAATCGGAAGTGGCACTGTAGCTCAAGTGGTAGAGCGCTAGCCTTGAGCTGAAGAGCTGAGGGACAGTGCTCAGGCCCAGAGTTCAAGCCCCAGGACCGACAAAAAAAAGAAAAAAACAACTTGTCCATAGATACCCAGTCCACACAAAGACTGAGCAACTGATTTCCCTCTGCGTATGGTTATTGACAATTTTTAATAGGAGGATATTTATTTGTAATTTCATTTCATCGTGTTATATGCTTAGCTCTTGGAATTCTTTTCGTAACTGGCTTTACTGGTTATACCAAGATCAAGATGCATTGTACACATTACTTTGCATAAAAATTGTATACATTGCATAAAAAATTGTATACATTGCATAAAAAAGTCAATAAATATCCTAGAAAAGTAAGAAAGGTGAAGGAAGGGGTGGGTGGGGAGGATTGGGGTAGAATGTTGAAAAGGGTGGCATTGATCAAGATGCACTGTATTTTTAAACTTCTTTGTACAACTGCTTAAAGACCATAAAATATTTCTATCCTTTTTTCTCTCATAGGAGAGAGTTAGGTCTAAATTATAAACATATTAGAACACATATACAAGGGCCGTATACATATAGACACAAACAAACTGAACCAAATATGGTTTGTGCAGGGGAGGATTCCAATGGCTCAACCCCATTGAATAACTTACAGTTCAAGAAAAGGAATACCAGGAAGCTGGGACTTACATTGTTGGGGGGGGGGGAAGTCGAGGGGAGGGGAGAGAGATGAATGGAGAGAGGAAGGGTAGGCAAATGCAATTATAACATTAAGTGTACATCGACGAAAATGGAACCAGGTAGGTAACTTGAAGGAATGGGTGGGGTTGGGATAGAGGGGGGAATGATGGAAGGGGTGACATCGATCAAGATCTATTGTGCTCAAACTGATATGTTTCATTGAAACCCCATTTGTGCAATTACCACCCAACAGAAATTCTCCTCAGTGCCAGAGACTCACTCTCTGCTTTTTCTAAGAGCATTTCTTTTGAACACTTGGCAATTGTAAATTCTTTCTCTGCTCCCTATCAGAATGTAAATCTTTTTGAAACTTCATTTTAAAACAACGTTTCAGTTAAAAGAATACCTTGTTACAATTTTCTTTAGCCCCTTTCTAGATTTATAACCCAGAAACATGTTTCTTGAGGTCCTGAGAGATATTACTTTGAAATGTAGGCATCGATAAAGATAGTGCCTGTCTCTGAAGCAGGTTAGCTTAGGTGTTGGCTTGCTGCTTGTCACAGAGAGATGAAGACTTTTAAGGGTTTTGTTTTTTGGTTTGGGGTGTTTTGTTTTGTTTTGTTTTTGAGGAAGACAATGACCTATTATAGACGACTCTCCAATTATCAGGCAAATGGAGGATAGGTTGTAAGCTAGAAATGTCCTGTCCAGTCCTTCTACTTGGAGACAAACTATCTTTTTTCCTGAGGGCATGGATGCACTAGCTATATCTGGCTGGCTACGTGGAAGCATGAGGTTTCTTTCTGCCTTTGTAATCACATTGGAAGTCACCTGAGTCTGCTTGCACTCTTATTCGTTACTATAGCTATTTCATCCTTTTCTTCCTTATGAAAGAAGATGCACTATGTGGGTAGGGGATTTTAATCTTTACTTTACCAGAACTATCCTTTCATTAATGAATGGGTCCAATACAATCTTCCACACAGGTGTGCTTTGCCTACGAATACATGTTGCGATTTTACAGTGTCTTAGGGGAAAATGGAATCTTGGCAGGGAAACAAGAAGATTCTATTATATGTCACTGAACTTTGAAGTTCAGCAAAACAAAACACCAGGAAATGGGTACTTGAAAGGAGTGGGGTGAGGTTAGGGGAAAGGAGCAGACAAGGGGAAAATGCAGAATTCAATATATATCCTACAAAATAAAGAATTCAATGTGAGGGAAGGGGTGGGTAGGGGAGGGATGGGTGAGAATGTTGATCAGGATGCACTGTATTCATAAACTGCTTTAATAAATGTCAATTCCTTTGTATTATTACTTAAAGATAATAAAAATAAGTAAAAGATTAAAAAAATAGATTAGTTCTTCTCTGAATAATTCTGTTTTATCATGCATGATTCACCTGTGATCTGAGGTGGATAGATACAGATTCTAAGATGTGGGCTTGTTGGATTATTCCAGTGGTAATGAAATTATGTCTCACATTGGCAGATTCAATCAACTCAGTGGTTACCAAACGTGCCCATACCATACAGGGAGTACATTCAATCCATTGTGAAATTTGTCTCATGGACTTTTGAGCCCCTAACCTACCAGGAAAAAGCATTTTCCTGACCAAAATACCCAAGTTTCGATAGACATAGCATCATGAAAGGGTTGTATGAAGATGGCCACTGTGTTAAGAACATTAGATTTCTGTCCTAGTGTTCTCCCTGCAAAGAGCTAACTAAGGGTTGCCACTTCAGGCTGAGGCTGAGGAGGTTGTGTGGTTTTCCTCATCAGGAATCCGAGATGAAGCTCTTCTCTGGTATCAAGGGATCTCAGAAAACAACACAGGCTTCAGCAAAAGAACCACAACTCTCAACTAACCAGTGGCTCACGCCTGTAATCCTAGCTACTCAGGAGGCTGAAATTTGAGTATCACAGTTCAAAGCCAGCCTGGGCAGGAAGATCCATGAGATTCTTATCTCCAATTAACCACCAAAAAGTCAGAAGTGAAGCTGTGACTCAAGTAGTAGAAGACTAACTGAACAAAAACCTCGGGACACTGCTCAGGCCATGATTGGAGCCTCAGGACTAGCAAAGCAAGAAAGCAAGAAAGAGAGAGAGCGAGAGAGAGAGAAAGAGAGAGAGAAAGAAAGAGAAAGAGAGAGAAAGAAAGAAAGAAAGAAAGAAAGAAAGAAAGAAAGAAAGAAAGAAGGAAGGAAGGAAGGAAGGAAGGAAGGAAGGAAGGAAGGAAGGAAGGAAGGAAGGAAGGAAGGAAGGAAGAAAGGAAAGAGAGAAGGGACAACCATTTGGAAGGCATTAAGGAAGTTCCTCAAAAGAGTACACATCTGACCCAGCAATCCCTCTTTAGGGCATTTACCCAAACACAAACAAGACCAAACTAAAGCTACCAGTACAACTATACTTATCACAGCATTATTTACCATAGCTAAGATATGGAATCAACCCAGATGCCCCTCAGTAGATGAATGGATCAAGAAAATGTGAAACACACACACACACACACACACACAATGGAATTCTATGCCTCCATCAGAAAGAATGACAACACCCCATTTGTTAGGAAATGGAAAGACTTGGAAAAAAATTCTATTAAGTGAAGTAATCCAGGCCCAAAGAAACATAGGTCCCATGGTTTCCCTTATCTGCAATAACTAGTATATGTCTAGGACAAGCAGAAAAGGTCAAAAGCTATGTACATATGACCATGTAAGATGATGCTAAGCGAAATGAACCCCAAGATAGGGACACAAGAGGAATTACCTTTTTTGCTGTTGTTTTTAATGTATTTATAATGTACTATGTGATATTTTTTGTTTCTTTTGTATATTCTTCCCCCATGATATAACCCATTGTATTTGATTCCAGTGCCATGGATCTTGTTTATATATTTTTCTAATTTAGGGAGAGGAAGGGAAATAACAAAATGCTGAAATAAGGATATAGGTTGACCCATTGTAACAATGTGATGTACAAGACACTATGTTGAAAACAAACTTTACAACTTGGGGGGGGAGGGGAGGGGAAGGAAGGGATTGTAGGGAAAAAACAAAAGGGGAGGTAACAATGCTCTATAGGAAATGTACTCATTACCTTACTCATGTATCTGTAACCCCTCTGTATAGTATCTTTTTTGTACATTTTTTATTGTAAAAATGCTGTACAGAGGGGTTACAGTTATATGAACAAGGTAATGTGTACATTTCCTTTTGAGCATTGTTGCCTCCTCCTTTGTTTTCCCCCTACCATCCTTCCCTCCCACCTCCACAACTAAACCCCTCCCCAACCTCCCTACTCTCCACCCCCACTGAAGTTGTAAAGTTCATTTTCAATATAGTGTTTTGTACATCTCATTGTTACAATGGGTCAACTTGTATCCTTATTTAAGCATTTTGTTTTTTCCCTGCCCTTTCCTGAATTAAAGAAGTGTATATACAAGATGCAGGGCACTGACATCAAATATAGTGAAAATAGGGGTTATACCGTGGGAGAGGAACATACAAAGCAACAAAAATATCACATGGTACACATGGTGCATTATAAATACGTTAGAAAAAATAACAAGAAGGAAAAATCATTTGAGTCCTTATCTTGGGGTTCATTTCACTTAACATCAACTTACCTGACCTTTTCTGCTTGTCTCAGACATATACTAGTCATTGCAAATAAGGGAAACCATGGGACCTATGTTTCTTTGGGCCTGGCTTACTTCACTTAATATAATTTTTTCCAAGTCTTTCCATTGCCTAACAAATGGGGCAATGTCATTCTTTCTGATGGAGGCATAGAATTCCATTATGTATAGACACCACATTTTCTTGATCCATTCATTTACTGAGGGGCCTCTGGGTTGGTTCCATATCTTAGCTATGGTAAATAATGCTGCAATTAACATAGTTGTGCTGGTAGCTTTAGTATGGTCTTGTTTGTGATCATTTGAGTAAATGCCCAACAGTGGGATTGCTGGGTTATAGGGGAGCTCTATGTGTAGTCTTTTGAGGAACCTCCATACTGCTTTCCAAAGTGGTTGAACAAGTTTACATTCCCACCAACAATGCAGTAGGGTTCGCTTCTGTCCACATCCCCTCCAGCATCTGTTGTTATTAGAGTTCTTGATTATAGCCACTCTAACTGGGGTGAGGTGGAATCTCAATGTTTTTTGATTTGCATTTCTTTTCCCTCTGTATAGTATCTTTACAATAAAAAATATATACTAAAAAAAGAAAGGAAGGAAGGAAGGGAGGGAGAGAGGGAGGGAGGGAGGGAGAGAGGGAATGGGAGGAAGAGAAAAAAGAACAGCATGCAGCTGTTTCTTAATTTCTTGTATAGAATCATTTGGGATCAAAAGATCCCTATCATGATGATGATTGTGTGTTCCATGTAGTTACAAGCCAAAGGAAAAAGGAGAGGGCAACTTGTTCTTCCAAATGAGAGCAAGTAGCAACTCATTACTTCACTTATTACAAGATGACTCGTGGCCTGGTTGTTGGTACAGTTGATGAAAATAGGTGTTTTACCTGCTGTGATGTTCCTCAAAGATTGGCCCATCTGTGAGAGACTCAGTGTGAGTTTTCCATCCTTAAGAAACAGGATAAAACTTCCTGACCCACGCCAAAGTTCACCAGAAAGCAACTGTCCTACTTTGTTCCATGTTCGAAACTGAAAAGTGACCGATACGTTGTCCTTCCCAGAACTGCCCGGCAGAGACAAATAGCTCCTGGAGCTCAGAAAAGTCATGGGGACAGTCTGTGGTTGTGGACACAAGAAGGAGACATTTCCCTATAAATAAAACAAAAGGGCAACATTGAGAGACCTTCCAATGAATGGGGCTCCTCTCTAATTAAAGGCATATTGGCAAAAATATACATAAGCTTTCTCTCATTAGAGTTTTATGAATTAGACTACATGACAATGCTTAATGTTATGTCTTTTATCTTTTCTCCTAATGTAAATATTATCATCCATAGGCAAATCTATGGTGTGTATGCATGTATACATGTGTGTGTGCATGTGTGTGTGTAATTCTCTACCTTAATATTTCTCTATACTAGCAAATAACACTTACTATACTACAGTTGAGTAGGAGTTAGTGCTATGGCAGTTAATTTCCAGGTCCTCTGTTAGGCCTGAGGTTATAAACAATTAACAGATAGTTCCATACTGTTTAATATTTAGATCTTCCTAAAGGTCATTCCTGAAAATCAGTTTCATGCCAACTTATTTTGATCATTTCTCTCAATTTAATGAGTTGGTTATTTATTGATGTATGTATTTATTTGGTACGGGTGGTTGAACTCATGGTCTCACCCTTGCTGGGCAGACACTCTGCCACTTGAACCACGCTCCTAGTCCTTTTCACCTAGAGCTTGGTTTTGGTAGGGTCTCGTGCTTTTACAAACTGTGCTCTCCTTGAACTACCTCTACCTCTGGGATAGCTGCAGTAGCACATGCCCACCACTAAACCCAGTCTAATTTGTGAGATTAGGATCTGGTTAACTCGTGCCAAGTCCAGTTCAGTTTCTTCTCGGAAGGAAACTTTAGATAGCAGATCGATCCATTTATCCCCTTCCTTTTGATTTATTTTTAATCTTGTCCAAGGTACCATCTCTCGGTGGAGCCTTTTTATCCCTCTTCCCTTTGGTGTTTCTCTGTTCATGAATCTTCATGACATTTTTCATTCGTTTTTATCCTAGCACAGGGCTGTTCAAAGAAGGCTTCAGAGCTATCATTTTTTTTCTTTTGTTTGTTTGTTTGTGAGTGTGTTTTTATTTACATAACCTTCTTGGAATAGGGGACTCATGGCTAGTCTTCCCCTCTATCACATGCTAACCTGAGTGATATATATTCATTTTGTAGCCTGTGCATCAAGAGCTAAAGAGGTGTGGTGTGTGTGTGTGTGTGTGTGTGTGTGTGTGTGTGTGTGTTTGTGTGTGTGTGTGTGTGTGTGTGTGCGCGCGCGCGTGCGCACACTCAGTGCTTGCACTCAGAGCCTTGGGCTTTGTTCCATTCAAGGCAAGTGATATACAATTTGAACCACAGTTCCACTTATGGCTTCTGATTGGTTAGCTGGAGAGAAAAGTCTCACAGATCTGTCTGCCCAGTCTGGCTTCGAACTGAGATCCTCCTCCACTTCCTGAGTAGTTAGGATTGGGTGTTAGTCACCAGCACACAACCTGGAGCTGAAGAGAGCTCCTCCAGGTGTGGGCAATATAATCAAGGCCTCCAATCCTTGCAGCACAAAAATGAGAAGCAATATTTTTCAAAACAACACAAATGAATATTCCTACAATGGTCTCTGAGATTTACTGACAGGCAATATGAATTTACCTGTTACCCAAAACTCAGATCGTTTTGTTTTCTTTTTAATGGAAAGAAGTTAATTAACTACTGGGAAACATTTACCATTGAGTAGGGAATCGCTCATTAGGGATTTTTATTGCCAAACAATTGATCTCCTGAGACTAATAATACCCCAAACACACAAGGTATATGAATTTTTATTTCAATATAAAAGTAAGATGTTCATTTTACTTCATATTAAATAACCATGCGCCAGGAAATATATTTACTTTTTAACTTCATGTGCATAATAAAATTGTGGTATTACATAGAAGCTGTTTAAAAGTATGCGTCGAGCTTTACTCCAGTGGTGAGTGTAGAGGCTCACACCTGTAATCCTACGCAATCAGTAGGCCGAGATCTAAGATCTGATATCAGTTCAAAGCCTGCCTGAGCAGGAAAGTCTGTGAGACTCTTTATCTCCAGCAAACTACCAAAAAGGCAGAAGTAGAGCTATAGTTCAAGTGGTAGAATGTTAGCCTTGAGTGACAATAGCTCAAGGACAGCACCCAGGTCCTGAGTTCAAACCCCAGAACCCGTATGAGGCCGGGCGCTGGTGGCTCACGCCTGTAATCCTAGCTACTCAGGAGACTGAGATCTGAGGATTGCGGTTCAAAGCCAGCCTGGGCAGGAGAGACCATGAGACTATCTCCAATAAACCACCAGAAAACCGGAAGTGAGGCTGTAGCTCAAGTGGTAGAGTGCTCGCCTTGAGCTGAAGAGCTGAGGGACAGCGCCCAGGCCCAGAGTTCAAGTCCCATGACCGACAAAAAAAAAAAATATGAGTTGATTTTTAAAAAAATATTATGACAAATGGAGGCCTAAAAGCAATAAAAGTAAAACAAAAAACTTATTTTTCTTGCTCTTTCCTTACCATAACGAGGATTTGTGGCTTGTGCTTCTTGGCTAACTCAATTATATCCACTCCATTATAATAAAGATTTTCCAAACATCCATGAAACATTTTATGTGAGAAATTCAGTAGTCCTCCAGGTACTGGAATTCCTCCAAAGCTGATCTTTGAGAGAAAAATGACATAAAGAAAAATAACATTTTTAGTGATATTTAAGTGAAATGATCCCTTTAAAAGATGTCTAACAGGTATTAAATTAATGGTCACAAATCCAGCAGCATCATTTTTTGTTTCTGTCTTGTTTGTTTTAAATGAAACGTTCGGTTATCATAACATTATTCGATGGCTTGATTCCTGACTTGGTGTACAGACTTCGGAAAAAGGGTCAATAAACTTGTTTTTGAAAAGATTACATAGTAAACAGTTTAAGACTACATAGGACATATTTTAGTTACTTGGTCTCTCAGGTATTTCTCAACTAAGCCATTTTAAGGAAGTAGTCATGGGGCTCATTTTTAGAAACTTGTTATGTGTTCTAAGAAAAAAAATCAAAAATGTCAGGCACCAGTGGCTTATCCCTGCAATCTAGCGATGCAAGAAATTGAGATCTGAGAATAGTCTTCAAAGCCAGTAAGGGCAGGGAAGCCTATGAGATTCTTATTTCCAATTAACCACTAAAAATCTAGAAGTGGATCTGTGGCTCAAGTGGTAGAATTCCAGCCTTGAGAGAGGAAAAAAATCCTTTTATGTAAGGAATAAGCTTATGTTTTGGCATTATATGGTGAACTTAAGGTAATAAAATTGTGGATATTCTGGGGTAGCACTGAGCTCCTCTGCATATTATGTGTCACAATCAATTACATTACATAAATTACCCCAGTTTTTCCTGATCCTCACACATTTGATATTGTCCTATGAAGAACTTCCAGAATTGTGTGCTTTGAGACATATTGGTAATGCATTTGCTAAAAACCACTTAAGAAAGTTAATGTGTAGTTAACATGGGTTCATTTGACCGTCTTGCTATTTAATGAATTTATGGATATATACGATGCAAACTCTTCCAAGAGATCTCATATAATGTTGTGTTCACTGTGCTCATACCATACAAAATTCCACCCTCAGGAATCTGTTATAGCCTAACAACAAATGTAATATACTAGATACAATTCAAAAGGAATCTATTGAACATCATTTTGTGTCTTTAGATCACTTCATTTGCAGAAAAATCTCCTTAACCTTACATCACACTAGGCCTGGATACATGCCTCTCATGCTAAGAGAATGATCCATCATCATAAAGTAATCAATTGGGACTTATTTAAAGGAGTACCCTGTTCACTGGGGCCTGAATTCTATATCAACCACCAGAGGTCTGAATTGCTATGCATTTCTCCATAGAACTGGGTTCTGGTTACAGGCCATTGAAATTATACATTGTGTAATAACCTCAAAGTGAAGATCTAAGGAAGTACGTTCCCCCTTTGCACGGAAGTGATGCGCGTGCTTGTCCAAGGTGAAGTTGACGTGGGTGTTGAAGAACTCCAGGCGGACAGAGTGCCAGTGCTGATCATCCAGCAGGCTGCCCAAGGTGAGGGTCGTGGGAGCTTTAGTAGAGGACAGGTTTGCAATGCCTTCAAAGAGAACAACCACCACACCCAGTTAGCTCCGCTCTAAATCATGGGTTCCCTTTGTGAGATGAGCATTGAAATTTATATTTCAGTCTTCCCTCACCTATAGATGGTCAGACTTCCTCTTGTACACAAAGTGTACTTCTTTTATGGTTTCTTATTACAATTCATTTCTATTCAATGTTGAAATTGCTTTTTTCACTTAGTTTATTTCTATTGCTTTTAAAACATTTTTTCTTTTAAAAATTAATTAACTGATTAGTTAATTTTAGTGTTAATGTAAAGGTGATGTATAGAGGGATTACAGTTTCTTAAGTCAGGTAATGAGTACATTTCTTTTGTTTAATTTATTTGGTTTTTGATTATGTGGCACGAAGGAATGGAATTCAGGGCCTCATGCATGCTAGGCAGGCCTCTACTACTAAGTCATGTTCTCGGCATTATTTTTTTTGCTACTGATACTGAGGCTTGACCTCAGAGCCTGTCTCTTAACTCATTAGCTTTTCTATTCAAGGCTAGTGCTCCACCACTTGAACCACAGCCCAATTTCTGGCTTTTTGGTGGTTAAATGCAGATAACAGTCTCACAAACTTTCCTGCCCTCGCTGGCTTCAAATCTCAGTTCTCCAATCTCAGCCTCCCTGATTAGGAAACAGTAGTACCTGGTTGAACATTTTTCTTTCATCTTAATTACTTATTTTGTATCACTATTCATGACATGATTCACGTTTACCTTGAAAATATTTTCTGCATTGGAATATCATTACCAATACAATCCCAGAATTTTGCAGTAACCTCTTCTTATCTGTACGATTATATCTTATCACAATATAAACTATACCTTATGTATTTATTTATAATTACCTTTCACTGTTGACAAAATATATGCTTTTGGCTTATTGCAGGTGGCTCAGACCTGTAATCTTGACTAACCGGGAGGCTGAGATCTCAGTGTTGCGGTTCAAAGGCAGCCTGAGCATATAAAATCTGTGAAACTCTTATCTCCACTTGACCAGAAAAAAAGCAAGAAATGGAGGTGTGTTCAAGATGTAGAGCATCACCCTTAAGCAGAGGAAACTAAGAAAGAGCATGTAGGCTCTGAGTTCAAGTCCCAGTACACACACACACACACACACACACACACACACACACACACACACACACACACACACACACACACACACGATAATTATGTAAGTCCTGCATTCATTAGCAGTGTTCTTAAACTTCCTTTTACATTTTCCCATGATAATTCTACTTTGCAATAATTATCCTAGTGTGGCTCTTAGTAACTTGTCTTTTATTTCTCAAAAGTATTCTGGTTGGCATGATAAATTGTATGGCCCCTTTACTTAACTGAAAAGATTCACAGATTCACTATAAACAGATCTGTTTATAGCTAAACAGATTTAAAAAAAACTACTGGCATAAGTGTACAAGTATTTTTTACCTGAATTAAGATAAAAGACAAGTTGTCCTTTAATTAGTTCCAGAGTGATATGATTTCTGTTTGGTCCTTCTCTGTGGAACAGAATCCCATTGTTCTGCATGGCTTTAAATTTCAAAGAAATAACATCTCTCATTGGTCGGATGGATTTTTCATCAAATCTGTAGAGCAGGGCACTGTATCCATCAAAATGAGCCACCTCGGATCCTGGAAAAGAAGATATTGAAAAACAGAACTTAGAAAGTAGACTTTCTGCACTTTAACATGTTGAAAATTTGTGACTCATGCCAACACACACACACACACACACACACACACACACACACACGTAGGCACAAGTCATGTTTTAAGTCTATTCATCAAAGGAGAAAAACTGACAATAATGTATTTTCTGTTGCTAATCTGACTTGATATACCTCATACCTGCTACCTGCTGTTAGACTTTTCCTAACATTATCATCTAGAAGTATTCTTATTAACCTTCTCCCAGTTGCCACTATCTTTGTATTACAGTGGTCTACTTCTCATCCTTGAGAAAATCAAGAAGGATGTTACATTTTCTTAGTTTTTTTCTTTCTTTCTTTTTTTTTTTTTTTTTTTTTTGGTCGGTCGTGGGGCCTGATCTGGGCCTGGGCACTAAGCTGTCCCCCAGCTCCTCAGCTCAAGGCTAGTGCTCTACCACTTGAGCCACAGAGCCACTTCCAGCCTTTTCTGTTTTTGTGGTACTGAGGAATCAAAACTAGGGTTTCATGCATGCAAGACAAGTGCTCTACCACTGAGCCACATTCTCACCCTGAATGTTGCTTTATTATGACATTAATTTTTAATTTTAATATTAGTATTATATTAAATATTAGTATCACTCTATTTAAATGGCTGATTCATTCTCCATACCTTTGACTTCTCTTGTTTCTTACATATGTACTTATTTTTATTTTATTTGCACAGCCTGAATATAGGCATAGTTAATATTTTACTGTGACATTAAAATCAGTATTTATTCTTTGGGGAAAACAATGCAAGAGTTGACTGGCTGGTTTTCAAATATTTTTTTTCTTTCATGTGATTGTTTCTAACACATTTATAAGATTATTTCTTTGTTGCTTTGTATGTACCTCCCCCACGGTATAACCTCTGCTTTCACTGTATTTGATGTTATTATAATTTGTGGAGGGGAAGGGAGAAAACAAATTATTTAAATAGGGATACAGGTGGACCCATTGCAACAATGAGACATACAAGTCGTTATGTCAAAAACGAACTTTACAACTTTGGTGAGGGGTGGGGGATGGGATGGGAAGGGGAAACAAAGGAAGAGGCTACAATGCTTGATAAGAAATGTACTCATTATCTTGCCCATGTAATTGTAACCTCTCTGTACAGTATTTTCACAATAAAAAATGAATAAATTTCTGGGCTGGGAAGGTGGCTCAGTGGTAGAGCACTTGCCTTGTATGCATGAGGCCCTGGGTTCGATTCCTCAGCACCACATAAGCAGAAAAAAAGCCAGAAGTGGCGCTGTGGCTCAAGAGGTAGAGTGCTAGCCTTGAGCTGAAGAGCTGAGGGACAGCGCCCAGGCCCAGAGTGCAGGCCCCATGACCAGACCCCCCCCCAAAATAAATAAATAAATAAATAAATTTCCTTTGAAGTTGAAAACGAACCAAAAACTAGAAACTCTATAGGATTTGGGAAGGTGGTCTAGGAGGATTTATTGTGCATACCTCTGAGACTCTATTATTATTACTATTATCTTCAAACAGTTGTGCAAATAGTACAATGATTGCTTCCGTTTAACTTGTTCGTTTATGTGTAGAGAGCGTCTTGACCATTGATTGCCACTCCTCCATCATTCCCTCTCAGCTATCCCAACTCGCCCATCCCCTCAAGCTTCTTAGTTCTATCATGAAATACTTTGAGCATGGTGGCTGGATCTGCCCACCATTCCTCTTTCGTTTTGTATTCACTTTTTAAATTACAGTTAAGGAGTTGTACAAAGGAGTTGCCATTTCACAAGGCAGTTTATGCATACAATACATCTTGATCAATGTCACCCCTTTGCACATTCTCACCCAGCCCTTCTCTACCCAGCCCTTCCCTTACCCTTCTTAATTCTGTGAGATGAACATTGAATTTTTATCTGCATCTTCCCCCTCCTCTCTTCTTCATTTGTCTACCCCTTTCCCCTTGACCCTACATCACCCCTTTCGAGTACCCACTGCATGATGTTCTACTTTGTTGACCTTTGATTCTGGCTTTCTGAGGAACTGCTCTGTTTGAGTTGTTCCTTGAATCGACCATATTTCAATTAATACATTTGAATGCATTTGCATACCACCCAACGTATTTACTTGTAAGTTTCTAAGCTAAATCTAGCTTCCTCTTTCTATTCCTATACTGCTACTTCTTTCAGCCTCCCTCCCCAGTCAAGACATGTGTCAGCTCTCTAAAATTCATTTTGTTTAAGCTCTCTATTAATTGTTGAAAGTCATTATTCATGGAATCTTACCCACCCATGTTACCCATATATCAACATTTTAGGATTTTGTCTGCTTATACAATATGTGGCCACACACATACAAAAACGTATGTTGTAGCTTTGTTTCTCAGGAAAACTAACAAAGGCACATAGTTTTGCTTGTTTGTTTATCTATTTATTGACTTTGTTGATGGCACAGGACTTTTATAGTACTGTGATGGGCATTCCTATAGCCTGTCAGAACTGTAATCACACACACACACACACACTTTTTTTTCTATCTCTGACAAGTCTCTTACAATTTCACTATGGAAGTCCTAAACATTCAGTTCATCAAAAAACAAGTGCAGCTGGGTACTGGTGGCTCCATGCTTATAACCCAGAAGGCTGGGAAGACTGTGGTTCAAAGCCAGCCGAGCTAAATAAATGGGAGATACTCTTATCTCCAAGTAACCAGCAAAAAGTTAGAAGTGGAGGAGTAGCTTTAGTGGTAGAATGCCAGTCTTGAATGACAAAGCTAATGTTCAAGCCCCAGTACCATCGTGTGTGTGTGTGTGTGTGTGTGTGTGTGTGTGTGTGTGTGTGTGTGTGTGTGTGTGTGTGTGTGTGTGTGTGTATGTGTGGGGGGGTGATGGAGGAAGGGAAGGAGGGACAGAGAGAGTTGGAGATAAGAGGCATAGGAACTCTTGTTATGGTGAGCACAATTAAATATTGAAATGAACACAGAGATGAAAGTCGATGGCCAAGGGGAACAGGAGAAAAATTGATAGTAAGACACCCTATGATACTTAATATCCTGTGGAAATGTTAACATTAGAAAACAGAGGCCGAGTTAGAGGCCAAGTTAGGGAATTAATTTGCTTGGCTAAAGGTCAAATGAGAATTTTAACAGTGACTTCAAATACTCCCTGGATGGTATATTATTATTATTATTACTATTATTATTATTATGCTTTAGGAAATTACATTTGGCAAGGTTAAAAGTACAATCAGCAAAGAATAGGGCTGATCATGCACAAAAAATCCTGACCAAAAAAACCTATGCAGACCCAAATCTAAGAAGTGTTAAGATGTGCTCATTCAGTTTAATCTTTGGATTGTTCTTCAGTTCTACACAGCAGTATTTTTTTAATGTGTGTGCTAGTACTGAGGCTTGAACTTAATGCCCAGGTGCTTTCCCTCAGCTTTTTCACTCAAGACTGACACTCTACCATTTGAGTCACAGCTCCACTTCTGACTTTTGATGGTTAATTGGAGATAAGGGTTTCATGGACTTTACTGCCCTGTCTGGTTTTTAACAATGATCCTCAGAATCTCCTGAGTAGCTAGGATTATAGGCATGAGCCACCAGTACTGCTATAGCAGTACTTTTCATGCTCTTCTATGCTGACAATAATTTAGAAACATGATAATGATTATGTGAAGAAACATCCCAAGTATACTGTGGGACACCAAATGACCACTGTCGAATAGAATCCTGCCACATGATTTCCCTGTTACTTTTTTTTAATGTTTGTGTTATTTTCATGTAGGATCTACTCATTTATGGTGATTACTGTTCATGGAAGAGACAATAAGCTGGCTCAGTACATAAACTAAACATATACACGCACCAAGTAAAGATCAAGTGTGCTAGACAAAAGGTTTCATGGTAATGGTCATAGAGAAAAGATGAGTTAAAACAGACACATCATAGAGCAGGTGCGGGCATGAGAAAAACCAGTATTTTGTTCCCACATGGAATATCATTTAAGCTGCTTCACCAAACAGCATTGTCTGTCGTGTGTGTGTGTGTGTGTGTGTGTGTGTGTGTGTGTGGTTTTTCATTTGGTAGTAATTGGATTTGGACTCAGGGCCTGGCATTTGTTAAGCTGGTGCTCTACCACTTGAGCCAAGTCTCTGGTTATTTTAGAGACGAAGCTTTGCAGACTTTTCTACCCATACTATCTTCTAACTGCAGTCCTCCAGATCTCAGTTTCTTATATCACTAGGATTTACAGGCAAGGAGCCATCAGCATCTCTGCTCAGTAATTTAAATTGTATTCACATTAATATTGTCTACAATGTTACAGGCACTTCGTTTAAAAAAAAAATCTGAGAATCTAAAGATGAGCACGTTTTGGTTCAAGTCCACCTCTAAAGTCAACTATAAAAGACAATACTGGAAGTCCAGTTTGTTATAGGGTAACAAAGACCCTTGACTTCCTACATAACATCAGTTCTTACGTAGTTATTTAAAGTCATAGAAGATCAGTTCAGCGAGCAGTCTGGCTTGGGGCTTTTACTGCACTTCACTGCACCTGTGAATGCTCTCATGTGAAGAGAAGTACCACTTACGATATGCACATCCGTACACTTCGATCCGCATCCCAATCCTACCCCTGGGATTCCAGGCCAAGGGCAGGAAGCGCAGAAACCTGGCTTCGAAGGGCGGCTGGAGTGTGTAGGACACAACGCTGTCTGCATTGGCGTTTCCTGGAAATCCCTGGAAGGAAGCAGAGAAAGAGATCGATACATCTGCAGAATGGCATCTTCACTCCGTGATCCTGTCCGGGTTACTGTGAGTGAGCACACAGTATCGGTCCCCAGGCAACGGCTGCCTTCCTTCAAGAAACTCTGCTGATGTACAACACAGGGGTGATTGGAATTCCACCCGCACCATTAAAATGCTGACAGGCAGGAAGGTCTCTGTCAAGTTTGCTTTGCTACAATTATCCTCTTAAACCTGCTTCCCCCACCAACCTCCAAGTGGTCAGGATTTCCCCCAAGAAAGCCCCTTCTCCAGAGTGATCAAACACCAGATCAAGGGATCTACGATAAGAATCCTAGAACTTGGAATCAGACAAGGCATTCCTCTGACTTCATTCTCTCAAGTTACAGGTGAGGACCAGCAAGCTAGCAAGGGAAAATGCTACACAATAGCTATCATATAGTTTGGGAGGATTACATCTGACTTTTTGTATTTGTTATTATAAAGGTGATATGAGTCAGATAAAAAGTACATTTCTTAGCCAGGCGGCAGTGTAATCCTAGCTACTCAGGAGGCTGAGATCTGAGGATCACTGTTCAAAGCCAGCCTGGGCAAGAAAGTCCATGAGACTCTTATCTCCAATTAAAACACTCACACACACACACACACACACACACACACACACACACACACACACACACAAAACAGAAGTGGCGCTGTGGCTCAAATGGTAGAGCACTCACCTTGAGCTGAAGAGCTGAGGGACAGTGCCCAGGCCCAGAGTTCAAGCCCCATGACCAACAAATAAATAAATACATACATACACAAATAGAAAAAGTACATTTCTTTTTGGAAAAAGTCACTCCTTCCCATCATTCTCTCCCAGTTTTTCCCTTCCATGTCCACACACAGTTGTATAGTTCATTTTCCACATAGTGTCTAGTAAGTGTCACTGCTGCATTTGTTCAATCTGCCCCTCCATTTCTGTGCCCCCTACCCTCCTGAAGTCAGATAAATAAATGAACAAAGAAGACAGAAAGAAAGGAAAACAAAAACAGCAACAAAGGAAACAAACCTTCTTGTTTCCATTTTCTGGAGTTCATTTCAGTAAATATTATTTTATGTGATCAGATGCACAAAGCATTGTGCTATTGTGTTTCTCTCCTGAGAGTGTCCTTTCTCTCACTGTGTGTAAAGGCCTAGAGTTCTATATCATGTCCTGGTATATTTTAGATCGAGCTTCTATATGTTGCCCAGGGTTTTTATCTCATGTTATCAGGTGGAATTCATCTCACACAAAACTCCATTCCAGTGTAGGACTCCTACACCTCTACACTTAATAAGTGAACTTTCCATTGGTCAGTTATTTTGGGGGGGACTTGCGAAATGCATACCACCACCATATGTGTTGAGGACAAAGGGGAATAATTATTTTCAGTCTTGTTATCTGAACACTACCAAGCACCAGACCATTGTCAGGTGGGAGGTAATAGATAAAGCAAGGTTAGATTTAAGCAGTGCACATTTTAGGTACATGGGGAAGCATTGCTTTGACATGTAAAAATCAACATTAACATGAAAATGTTAATATATGCTAATCTTTAAAAATCTAAGCTAAGACAGGTGTTGTTGGCTTATATCTATAATTCTAAGTAATTGGAAAATGAAAATAGAGAGAATCATGGTTCAAAGCCACCCTGGGCAAAAAATTGTGAGCCTCCATCTTTTTTTTATTATTATTATTGTGAAAATACCAGACAGAGGGGTTACAATTTACATGAGCAAGGTATCAAGCATTGTTGCCTCCTCCTTTGTTTCCCCTTCTCATCCCTTCCCATCCTCTCCTTGCCCCCCCCCACCCCTGCAGGCTCCCCTCCTCCACCCCACCAAAGTTGTAAAGTTCGTTTTTCAACATTACGTCTTGTACATCTCATTGTTGCAATGGGTCCACCTGTATCCCTAGTTAAACAATTTGTTTTTTCCCTTCCCCTCCACAAATTATACCAACATCAAATACAGTGAAAACAAAGGTTATACTGTGGGGGAGGAACATACAAAGCAACAAAGAAATAATCTTATAAATGTGTTAGAAACAATCGCAAGAAAGAAAAAACATTTGAGTCATCTTGGGGTTCATTTCATTTAACATCAACATATCTGACCTTTTCTGCTTGTCTCAGACATATACTAGTTATTGCAAATAAGGGAAACCATGGGGCCTATGTTCCTTTGGGCCTGGCTTACTTCACTTAATATAATTTTTTCCAAGCCTTTCCATTTCCTAAAAATGGGGCAATGTCATTCTTTCTGAATGAGGCATAGAATTCCATTGTGTATATATACCACATTTTCTTGATCCATTCATCTACTGAGGGGCATCTGGGTTGGTTCCATATCTTAGCTATGGTAAATAATACTGCAATAAACATGTTGTGCTGGTAGCTTTAGTATGGTCTTGTTTGTGATCCTTCAGGTAAATGCCGAACAGTGGGATTGCTGGGTCATAGGGGAGCTCTATGTAGAGTCTTTTGAGGAACCTCCATACTGCTTTCCAAAGTGGTTGAACAAGTTTACACTCCCACCAGCTATGCAGTAAGGTTCCCTTCTGTCCACATCCCCTCCAGCATCTGTTGTTATTAGAGTTCTTGATTATAGCCATTCTAACTGGGGCAAGGTGGTATCTCAATGTTGTTTTGATTTGCATTTCTTTTATGTGAGCCTCCATCTTAACAAATAGCTGGGCATTGATGATACAATGGGAACTGGGAAAATGGAGGAACGCTATACTGACCTGGACAAAAAGCAAGATTGTATCTCAAAAGTTACCAGAGAGAAAAGGGACAAAGTGGTTAAGCCCCTGCCTAGCAAAAGCAAGACCCTGAGTTCAAACCTCAGTACCACCAAAAAAATCAAAATCTAATAAAAATGATAACATGTGAGGACAAGAAAAAGACTGATTCTCATGCACACATAAATTTATTTTAGATCACCATTTAAATGACAGACAATGAATTCAATAAATAAGGTAAGAACTATGCACTAAACCATTCACTGGGAAGTAAAAACATAGAATACTAAATAGAAAACCGGAAGTGGCACTGTAGCTCAAGTGGTAGAGGGCTAGCCTTGAGCTGAAGAGCTGAGGGACAGTGCTCAGGCCCAGAGTTCAAGCCCCACGACAGACCAAAGAAAACAAAAACCAAAAAACAAGTCAGCTTGGGCAAGAGATAGTGAGATGCCCACTCAACAAAGAAACTGGGCATAGTGTTGTATGCCTGTAATCCCAGGTATATATAAGGAGGAGGATAACTGTCCAGGCCTCCAGCAAAAATAACAAAAAAAACAAAGACCATATATAGAAAGTAACTATAGCAAAAAGGGCAGGGAATACTGTTCAAGGGAAAGAGCACCTGCCTGGTAGGCAAGAGGCCTTAAGTTCCAATTCTAGTACCTAAAAAAAAAAAGAAGAAGAAGAAGAAGGAAAAGTCACATCGTAGCACCACCCATTCAAACTCCAGTCTAGTGCTATTTTTCAGCACAGTGCAGTTTCCTTATCTATAAAGCTAGTTTAGTAAAAACTAAATCTAAAGGTTGGAACAATAATTGAGCTAATTAGCACTGTGCTCACCACCTGACGGAAGGTAAGAGTTTTGGGGTTCTGACTGCTGTAGTGTGGGCAGAAGTAGAGAGTGCTTGCTTACAATTGGTGTAGATTGAATTCATCCATGGGTTTAATATCTAAGACATCCATCTAAACTGCCAAGCCAGGGACATAGCTCTCCTGGGCATTTTGCCTTCAACATTAAAATTCAAAGAATTAAAATCAATTTTGCCTGAAGCTGACAAGGTGATTTAAATTTTGGTATGCGCAACATAATAAAAAATCTTCCCAAGGAAACCTACTCAAATAGAATTGTTTTACTGTTTTTGTATACCTCACACTACTTTTCTCTCAAGCTTCTTTTCAAATATAAGCTCTGGAGAAAATATTTATGAAATAATGTGACTAGAGTAGCATAGAGAAAAATAATTTCATGGCTTATTTTTATCGAATCAAACAAGATAGTTTCTAAGAGATTTTATACTGACATGAGGCAATAATTTGTGAATAGAGCAGACAGAATGTAATGTTTAACAATGGAGATATTGTTTACAACTCAGGGATAAGAACTTTACGAAACCAAACATTTATTACATATGACTAAAATATATTAAAGGGGCTAGGTTACCAGGTACAGTGGCTCATACTTGTAATCCTACTTGGGAGGCTAAGATCTGAGTATCCAGGTTCAAAGAAGCTAGGGCAGAAAAATCCACAAGATCCTTATCTCCAATTAACCAGTAAAAAGTCAGAAGTGCAGGTGTGAGCTCAGCTCCAGCCCTGAGCAAAAAAGCTAAGAGACAGTGCCCAGGCCTTAAGTGCAAGCCCCAGTACTAGCATAAAAAAATAAGACATGCTAATGCCCTAGGTTCTGTCCAGCACTGCCAAAAAATACAGATACGTGTTTATGTGTATATGTATATATAAAACAGACTTTATGTATATATTTGCATACATAAACACATTCAAATAGTCTAGGACATATATAGTCACATTAATTCCTTTGAAGTTTGAAGAATCACATTATTCGTATTTTATTTGAATTATAACCAGCTTCACAAAATACCAGTCAAATAAACTGTTGCTCTGTTAAAATGTAACAATTAAAAAGAATACAATTTGGAGAGGGAGAGCCTATAGTATTATTTCATTGATGTAACATTTAGGACTTATTATTAAAACCATCATATATTTTACAGTAAAATTTAATAGCTGAAAATGCTGTGTATTCTTTTATCCATTTACAGTTTGCTTTGAGAGTTTCCATCATAAATATGAATTTATAAGCAAGCACAAATAGCCATAAAGTCCTATGCCTGAAGTCAGAAAACAAAGGTTCCAGAAAAACAGGGCAAAGCCAGCTCTGTGGAAATCCACGGCCATCAGAGATTCTGCAGAGGCTTAAAGCTTCATT